GCGTGGCCCGGGCCCGGGCTGGGAGGTGCTGGGGACGGGGCCGTGGTGCAGCGGGGACCTAAGCTAGGGGCGGGGCTTCGAGGTGGCCCCTTGCAGCCTGGAGATCAGGCCCGGGTGGTGCCGAGGCTTCAGGTTGAGTCGCGGGCGTGGCTTCTGGCCACCGCCTGCTCGGAGCTGACTCCTGGTGCCTGGCTTTCCCCGCAGCTGGTCCAGGAGAAGTGGCACCTGGTGGACGACCTGTCGCGGCTGCTGCCGGAGTTGAGTCCAGCTCCCGAGCCCCTTCGCTCTCGAGCTTCGCGCCCGCGGTCCCTCTGCCCCGGATTCCCGTGCCCAGGCTCACCGGGCCCCAGGACACCCCGGCTGAGATCCTCCACCGTGCCGAGCTCCTCGAGGCCCGGAAGCCCAGGGGCCTCGGATCCCGTCTCCAGATTTCACTTCCCCAGCCGCGCAGAGCTGTAGCGCCGACCCCCACACACAGACACGCCCCCCCTCCCCACCCTCCCACTCCTGGCTCTGCCGCAGCTTCCTCCAGCGCCCTCACCCCGGCTTTTCCACCTCCTTACCCTGGTCCCAGGACCTCATCCTCAGGTCAGCAGGAAGGACATGAGAATTTCTACCTCTCTATTTTATTTTATCAGATCCCTTCAAATGTTTTATTGAGTGTTTTTCATAGTGTACATCATAGTATGTATATCAACTCATGGATACAATTTATAAATATGCATTTTTTGGAAGCACTCGAATCTCTTAGGAAGGGGTTCTCTCGGAAGTGTTTGTATACCACCCTCCATGATGCTGCATGCCCGGGTTTGGAGCAGCCCTCCGCAGACTAGGGCTCTACACCACCTGCTAACCCTCCACCCACATGTGCACAGAGGTGAAACCGTGCTCCCAAAAAGTGGCAGGGCTGGGCCTTGAACCAGATACATGGGCTCCAAGATACATTAAACCAGGGTGGGGCATCGGGTTGAGTGACATCTGGGTCTCTTGGAGGAAAGCAGGTCAGGGTCCATGGCCACACACCTCTGCTGAACATTGTCCCTCAGCCTTCCTGCGAACTGGCAGCCAGCCTCTGAGGGGTGACGGTGGACACCGTGCCAGGCGCTCGGCAGAAGGTGCGGGCCTGCCCTTTGAGACCTGTGGGAGGTGGCCTGGATGGGGGTATGCTCAGGGTGACCACAAGGGCAGGGCAGGGTGGCCGGGAGCTCTGCCTGAGTTTCTTCTTCTCACCCTGTCTCTTGCTGCAGAGGCTTTGAACACACAGCTTGGAAGGATCTCTGTAGACTTCAGATGCTAACAGATCTACTGACTGGCCCGGATGTAGCCAGTAGCCAAGCACAGGGACACTGTTTTGTTTTTTGTTTGTTTTGTTTTGTTTTTTGAGACAGGGTTTCTCTGTGTAGCAGCCCTGGCTGTCCTGGAACTCGCTCTGTAGACCAGGCTGGCCTCGAACTCACAGAGATCCGCCTGCCTCTGCCTCCCGAGTGCGTGGCACCACCACCTGCCTATTTTGCTTTTGTTCTTTTCAGCCAGGCCCATGGCTCCCACTTGTAATTCAAACAATTGGAACGCTGAGGCAGGAGGATTGTGAGGTTGAAGTCAGCCCAGACTACACAACCAGACCCTGTCTCAGAGACACCACCAGTCCAGCATGGTAGCACATGCCTGAAATCCCAGCACTCAAGAGGCAGAGGCAGAGGCAGAGGATAGCCTTAAGCTTGAGACTAGCCTGATCTACATAATGAGTTACAGGCCTGCCGGGGCCCAGAGTAGAACTTGTGTCAAATATACCCCTCCCCCTGCAAAAAAAAAATGGCCATGCACGGTGGATATCCCTGTAATCACAGCACTCTGGAGGCAGATAGGAATCTTTGTTGGTTCAAGTTCTGTCTGGCCTTAGTGAGCTCCAGGGCAGCCTACAAAGTAACAAACAAATGGACAATAAAAACTACCTAAAAGTAACATTACCATCAAACTAAAGAAAACATTGTGAAGTCATGCCCTAAAGTGCTGTAGGACTTTAGCAGAATCACTATATGGGGTAGACATGACAGAATGAACAGCTGTTTCCCGGAGTGCTTTGACCTTGAAGAATCCTTGGGGAAAATAGTGATGCTTTCGCTGAAGGGGCATTGCAGCCATTGCATGACTGTGGTCACAAAACTTGTCTCTTGGCACACTGAGGCTCTTGGGTTATTGTGTATTGCTAACAACACATAATAAAGGACTAGAGTCATGAGGGCCTGTGACGGCTCTTCTTCAGTAAGACATGTAGACTATATTAGAAACCTTGGTAGCAATCAATAAATACACCTTCGTAAGGCTGTTTGGGGTTTAGTTCATCAGAGAGACCGGACCTTCCTAATGCCACATAGGCCCTAAAATTTCATCTTGGGTTGGGCGGTGGTGGCGCATGCCTTTAATCCCAGCACTCAGGAGTCAGAGGCAGGCAGATCTGTGTGAGTTGGAGGCCAGCCAGATCTATGGAGTGAGTTCCAGGACAGCCAGGACAGCAGAGAAACTCTGTCTCCAAAAAAATTTTTTCTCCCTCTTGGAATGGCTTCTTTCTTCAACTGACCCAAGCTACAAGGTATACCTTGACACAAAAGACACAAATAGGGGAGGTAGCACGGGGACTTGAGACCTGCCGCCAACCAGAAGACAAGCCATGTACCCTCTGGAGGTGGCACCTCCAAGGACGGGCCTCTTGGAGTCCTCCCAGATACGGCTTTGGGGAGAGGGGGGTGTGAGCAGGAGATCGGCAGGCGCGGGGTGCAGGCAGGTGGGTGCTGCCCTGGTCGGGCTTGGGCAGAGGGGACCCTGAGGCAATGGTCACAGTGCAGGAGGCCCAGGCAGCGCCTCTGCCGCATGTGCCAGGGCTGAGATGATGGGCACCAGGGGCGCTATGACATGTGTCTGCGCTGCTAGCCCAGGACCACAGTAGTGAGACCCTGTCTCAAAAGTAAAGAGATGGGCTGGAGAGGCAGCTCAGCCATCAGGAGCACCGGCTGCTCTTACAGAGGACCTGGGTTGGGTTCCCAGCACCCACACGGCAGCTCACAACTGTCTGTAACCCCAGTTCCAGGGGACCCGGTGCCTTCTGGCTGCCACAGGTTCCTGCACACACATGGTGGACATACGTGCACTCAGGCACACATGCATACTCATAAAATACAAATACGTATTTTAAAATAAAAAAACTAATTTTCAAAGAAAAGGGCTTTTGTTGGAAACTAAGTCAAAATGTTCTCCCCCTGCTCCCACTGGAGAAACTTACAGAGGTGGGTGTGGGGTGCAGACTGCACCCTGGAGGAGATGCCAGGCTGCGGACGCTCAGCAGCAGAGTTGACTCAAGCTGGGTAGCCTCACCTTGAGGAGCACAGCTCGTGTCCAGGTGACCTGACACCACTGCTGGCTCTTCCCTTGGCTTTTCCCTTTGCTCCTTGGCTGTGAGCCTCTGCTCGGACAGCTTCCTGGTAAAACCAGGCCTCCACAGATCCCCCAAGAATGGCAAAAAGGGGACCAGGCTAGAATGGCCTTCCTAGGTCCCATGTGTCTTCCCGGAGGGCAGGGCCGGCTGGAGTGCAGTTGCTAGCCAGGCTCTGTGGTGGAACATCTACACCCGACACAGATGTCGCTTGGCAGCAGGGGACCTCCACTGGGAAGAAACAGCTAAAGTGGGTGTTTGCTGAGCAGTCACTGAGCATGCTCAGAAAGGCACAGGCTGGTCTGCAGGCCCAGGCCTAGGCTGGGGTGAGGAGCCCTGCCACACGGGAGGGCAGATATGAGAGGCCTCCCACAGGGTAGCATGTTCTCTCTAGTGCCCATATCACCTGCTTCCTTGGCGCTCTGTAGAGAGAAGCCTTCCCACCTGCCTGGTCCCAGAGCCGCATCAGTCCCAAATGAACACACAGGACACTATATTAATTATGAAGCTGTTGGCTGTTTGCTTGTTTCTTACTGGCTAGCTCTGATTTAAGTATTTACCCATGTAAGTATTTCTCTTACCAGAGAAGGGGTCCGGACTTCTTACCCTATGGCGGTTACATCTTGATTCCCTGTGTTTCTCCTTCCCAGAGTCCTCCTGGACTCCTACTCCCACCTATCTTGCTTCCCTATTGGCCAACAGTGTTTTATTGACATATACACAGGACTTCCCCATCAGTGCTCTGTGTCCCAAAGACCCTGTGGGTCTGGTCCTGGTGTGGCCTTAGGGTTGGTGGGGCCACATCACTGTTGATTGTCTGATGTCATTTCCTTTGTCCAGGTTAGACTGGGCCCAGGTCCTTAATGGATGACCTTGCCTTTCTCTGGACTCCTTAGACACAAGGCTCCACACTCTGGGGTGAGGGAGATCCTCATCCACCCTGAGGTCTGACTGGGAGAGAGAACAAGGCAGCTATAGCAGGCAAATGGGGGTCAGGCATAAATCGATAGACGTGGGCCTAACTACCTCTCCCTGCTTCCTCTTAGCAGGTAACCACTCCAGGGCTCCTTCATAAAGAAAGCCTCTTGTTGGTGGGGCTGGAGAGATGGTTTAGCAGTTGGGAGCACTAGCTGCTCTTCCAAAGGACCCAGGTTCAATTCCCAGCACCCACATGGCAGCTCACAACTGTCTGTAACTCCAGTTCCAGGGGATCTGACATCCTCACACAGACATACGTGCAGCCAAAACACCAAAGTACATAAAATAAAAATAAATCTTTACTGGCTGGAGAGACGGCTCAGAGGTTAAGAGCACAGGCTGCTCTTCCAGGGGTCCTGAGTTCAATTCCCAACAAACCACATGGTGGCTCACAGCCATCTGTAACGAGAACTGGTACCCTCTTTTGGTGGGCAGGGACACATGCAGACAGAACACTGTATACATAATAATCTTTAAAAAATAAATTGTTATAAAACTTTTTTAAAATGTCCTTGATAAGAAAAGCTCTTGTGAGGCTGGGCGTTGGTGGTGCATGCCTTTGATTCCAGCACTCAGGAGGCAGAGGCAGGTGGATCTCTATGAGTTCGAGGCCAGCTTGGTCTACAGAGCGAGTTCCAGGACGGCCTCCAAAGCCACAGAGAAACCCTGTCTCGAAAAAGCAAAAAAATTAAAAAAAAAAGAAAACCCTTGTGTTAATGCCATCTGGAACTCAGTAGGCACGTCCTCACTCCCTCCCCCACAGGTGACATCCCTGGAGCTAGCCCTGCAGAGTGTCAGGGGCCCCTGGGTAACCACAACCTTCAGATTATCTCCTAGCTGCAGGCAACCACCCAAGGAGCACCCAGGGGCCTTAGGGTGGAGGGGCCAGATGAGGAGGCTTTTGACAGCCTGAGCCAGAGGCCCCACACAGCCCCATCCCTGCAGAGACATGAAGCTCCTTTGGCTGCTCTTGGTGGCCACGCTGGGTGAGTCTCCTGCAGACACCACGGGAAGAGCTTGGAGGAAGTAGAGAGTCCTGAGAGACCTGAAGGCAGAAGCACCAGAGGGAGAGAGGGAGAAGGTGTGTGCGCGTGAGTGTGTGTATGTGCGTGTGTGCGAGTGTGTGTGTGCATGCGTGCGTGTGTGTGTGCTATGAGTGTGTGAGTGTGTGCATGAGTGTGTGCGTGCGTGTGTATGTGTGAGTGTGTGTGTGTGTGTGTTGGGGCAGTGGGTGGGGGTGGGGGTGGGGGCTGAACAGGATATCCATAACAGCCCCATAGACTAACATGCTTGTATGGCTGACCCTGTTAGGACATCACCTGGATTCCATTGGTGTGGTGTGTGTGTGTGTGTGCATGCGCATGCATGTGCGTGAAAGAAAATTGTATGTGCATGAAAGAAATTGTATGTGCGTATGTGTGTGAATGCGTGTGAACATGTGAGAGAGAGAGAGTGTGTGTGTGTGTGTGCAGTTGTCATTGTGGATGCATATGGAAGTCAGACATTAAGGCAAGACGTTGAGGTGTTGAGGTGTCTTCTTCAGTCACTTCCCTACCTTAGTTTTTGAAGCAAAGGCTCTCTCTGTCTCTCTGTCTCTGTCTCTCTGTCTCTCTGTCTCTCTCTCTCTCTCTTTCTCTCTCTCTCTCTCCGGCCTGAAGCTTGCTGTTCCAGTTAGACTGTCTGGCTAGGTCCAGAAACCCACCTTTCTCTACCCTGCTCCACACCCGCCTTCTTTGGTGGGCGCCGGGGACCGGAACTTAGGTCTCACGCTTGCACAGCAAGCACTGTACCTCTGAGCCATCCCTCCTGGCCCCTGATTCCTGTCAACTTGCCTGCAGTGGGGCTCCCTGGTGTGAGGAGAGCTTTCATTTAAACCAGGCTGACGGTGCAGCGCCTGTAATCCCAGTGGAGGGAGGAAGGTCAGGAGTTCCAGGCTACCCTCAGGTACATAGTGAGCTCAAAGCCAGCCTGGAACATAGGACAGACCCTGTGTGAAGTAAGATCAAATAAAACAGCTGTCACCGTCAGAGCTGCTAAGTTGTTCCTGAGGCCTCAGTCAGGGGTGAGCCTGGGGGGGGGGCTGTCTGGCTGTCTCCCTCCTCTGCCCAGCTCCCCTGACCCTTCTCTTTCACAGCTGCCTGCAGCTTCTCAGGGGGACCGGCAGAAGGTGAGTAGCCCCGACACTGCAGGGAGAAGGATCTAGCTGGGGACGCCTCGGCCAGAGCTGCGCACCTGTGGTGGCGTGCCTTGGCTAGAGACAGATTATTGATGGTGAGGAAGGGGCGTGATGTGGTTGATGTGGACCCAGAGGAGGCCGGAAATCCTAGTGTGCACTTATCCCTGGAAGAGGGACCCACCCTCAGGAGGGGGTTGGTAAGGGAGCTGGGGAACTTGGACATTAAGGTTCTTTGCTCTGGAAGCAGCTGAGAGTGAGTGTTCTCTCTCTCTAAATATGGGTGTGTGTGTGTAATATGCATATGTATATGTGTGCATATATACATCTGTCTGTCTCCCCTTCCTCCCTTCCCTCCTCCTGTCTCCCCCTCCTCCCTCCCCTCCTCCTGTCTCTCCTTCCTCCCTTCCCTCCTCCTGTCTCCCCCTCCTCCCTCCCCTCCTCCTGTCTCTCCTTCCTCCCTTCCCTCCTCCTGTCTCTCCTTCCTCCATTCCCTCCTCCTGTCTCCCCCTCCTCCCTTCCCTCCTCCTTCCTTCTCTTTTCCTCCTAACAGTCCAGATGCAGAGCCAGGAAGGAAGGGCGTCAGGGAAAGACCACGGCCCCTGGCCTCCTCCAGTCGTGGCCCTCCCTTGGCTCTCAGCCTCATCCCTGTGGCCCTCAGGGTGGAGGCAGGCGGTCACCTCCGTGTCCTGTCTTGTCCCTTCACCCTGTGTCCCTGGGCATCCCCTTCTGTTCTGCCTAAGGGAGGTGCAGGGTGGTGTTGACGGAGGTCTCAGACGGACGAGGCACAGACCAAACTACCATTTCCTCATTTCTGTACAAAAGAAAAAGGTTATTAGTGTCATGGCTAAAAAAAGAGCTGGCGGCTGGGTCTCCGGAAAGTACCTGGGCAGAGGCCGTCCCGCCTTCCTGTCCCCTCAGCCCATGGCCTCTGCTCGGCACTGCTGATGAAGTCCTGCTAAGGAGGGTTCTGAAGGCTGCCCCTTGTCCCCTCACAAATCTCAGAGGATGTGTGGTTGCTGGCACTGTGGCAGGCCAGGAGGATAAAACCAGGTACAGGAAGAACACAGCCACCCCTCCCGCAGGGACAGAGAGCGCACGAGTGAGCAGCACTGCAGGCTGTTGGAATCCGGAGTGTAAGCCACCGTCCTGCAGGGACAGAGGGTGAGAGGTCGCTCTAGGCTGTTAGAATGGAAAGCATCAGTGGCTGTGGTGGCTCCTTGGAGTTAGAGACAGGAGGCTCAAAGGTGCTGGGCTACAGTGAACCCTATCTTTAAAATAAAAGTGTGCGTGCGTGCGTGCGTGTGTGTGCGCACGCGCGCGTGTGTGTGTGTGTGTGTGTGTGTGTGTGTGTGTGTGTGTGTGTATGGTGCCAGTCCTGGTTGGGCACCTTCAATTCTAGCACTTAGGAGGCAGATGCAGTAGGATTTCTGTCTGAGTTCTAAGCCAGCCTGGTCTACATGGTGAGTTGCAGGACAACACAGTGAAGCCCGTCACAAAAAAGACAGAAACAGAACAAAACGACAAACCTAGCAGCTGTCACCACAGCAGGCTCAGTGTGGAGAGTGATCCTTTCTATTTCCGCCTCGGGGAGCAAACCGGGCCTTCTTAGCACGCTTCCAGTCCCCACGTATGCAAATCAAGCTTCTATTCCAGGCCACCAAGATGGAAATGAGAGGGACCGTTTTTTCTTTTCACTTTTATAAGTCATGCTCATTGCTCTTCGTGAAGGAAAGAGAAAACCAAACAAACACATAACCACAATTTGGCCCTAAACTCCTTTCCCCACCCAGTGAGATGCAGTCTAGCCCCAAACACCTTCCTTGGACCCTGATAAGACCTGTTGTCCCCAAAGATCAAGCTGACGGAAGTCCTGTTAGAAGCCGGCCAAAGCCAGGCATTGGTGACGCATGCCTTTAATCCCAGCACTGGGGAGGCAGAGGCAGGAGGATCTCTGTGAGTTCGAGGCAGAGCAAGTTCCAGGTCAGCTGGAGTTACACGGAAAAACACTGTCTCAAAAACTCCAAACAGAAGAAGAAGAGGAGGAGGAGGAGGAAGAGGAGGAGGAGGAGGAAGAGGAGGAGGAAGAGGAAGAGGAGGAGGAGGAGGAGGAGGAGGAGGAGGAGATTGGCCAGAGAAGATCTGACTTTAGCATTAGGTCCAGTATCTCAAATTGGAAATCGATTTTGATTTAAAAAAATAAAATCTCCCTCACAAAGAGGGGCGCTTAGCAAAGAACTTAAAAAAAAAACACAGAAGAAAGGGCTCTGCTGGTGTCAGGCAGGTGGTTTCAGAACTTGTCTTCTCTCCGGGGGCCGCTTCTGTCTCCGCGGGTCACATCCTGCAGTGGAGTGTGGAGCGGGTCCCTGGCCTCAGCACTCAGCTGCAACACCAGTAGACATGAGGTCCCAGAGCAGGAATTAGGATCTGAAAGAAAGTGTTTCCAGCGGTCAGAAGCGTGGGGAGTCCCGGGAAATGTTTGTGACAGCCTGCAGCTTCCTCCACGGACTTCTCCTCTCTCTGTCTCTCTCTCTCTCTCTCTGTCTCTCTCTGTCTCTGTGTGTCTGTGAGTCTGTCCGTGTGTGTGTGTGTGTGTGTGTGTGTGTGTGTATCTGTGCACCGCATGCATTCAGTACCCACAGAAGCCAGGAGAGGGTTTGGATTCCTCTGGGAGTGGAGTTACAGGCAGTTGTGAACCCCTGTGTGACTCTGAGCAGTAAGCATTCTTAGCCACTGAGCCATCTCTCCAGTCCCCCAAAATGTACTCATACAGCAGTTTCCCTCCTGCCTGGCTTCCCAGGCTCGGAGTCATGTTATATTGGTGCTCGGCGTCGAGAAATGGGTGGGGCTCACTTCTTCCTTTTGGCCTCACGGGAAATCGAACCTCGGGCCTTGAACATGCCAGACTCAGGCCCTGCCGAGACATGATACCTCTAAACCTTCATTCATCATCATGATCAAATCATATTCCTTGCACAGGTCATGTTCAACTATTAGGGTTTGAAGCTGTTTCCTCTTGGTAGCCATGACCGGAGCTGCCTTGACATGTATGTGACGGATCTGGCTGGGTCTGTCTTTGATTCTGTTGGGATGTGTCCAGGAGTGTAATTACTGAGTCATTGCTAATTCTTTTAACGTTTCCTGCCCTTTTATTTATTTATTTAATGGTACTGGAGACTGACCTCGGGGGTCTTATGGTTGCTAGCCTTATTATATTCTACCATTGAGATACACTTCTTTCAAAATTCTTTTGCTATGTGTATGTGTGTCTGCATGGGTCTTTGTGAACCACCTTCTTCCGGTGCCCTGGGCAGCCAGGAGAGCATCCCCCCCCCCCCAGTCCCGGAGTTACAGGTGGTTGTGAGTTGACTGACAGAAGCTGGGACCAAAACCCAAATCTTCTACAAGTGTCCTTGACCACTGAGCCTTCTGCCCAGCTCCGACTACTTAGGTTTTTCTAAGAATTGTCCAACCAGAGTTTCTAAGTGCTTGACGCGCCTTGATCTTTTTCTTCCCCTGACGGATCCACCTTCCTAGACGTCACCGTCACCATTGCCTACAAAGTGCTGGAAGTTTACCCTCAGAGCCGCCGCGTGCTCATAACCTGCGACATCCCCGAGGCACCCCGGCCTGTCACTTACTCTCTCGTGGCTAGCCGAGGTGTCCTGGTGGCCAAAAGAGTTGTGCATGACTACAAGCCGGCCTCCTTCAACATCAACATCACGCTCAAGTCCAGCCCGGACCTGCTCACCTACTCCTGCCAAGCAGCCTCTAACCTGGGCACCTACGGGCCCAGCAGCAGGCTGCGGATGTACTCGGAGCTGTGGGCCAGTGAGTACAGGGGTGTGGCTGGAGAGGCTGGTAGGATTGTGGATCAGTGGAGGGGTGGACCAGGGGAGGGGATGGCGGACTTTGAGATGGGGATTTTACCGGGGAGAGAGGAGGAGGCAGCGGAGCAGGGGCAGAGGGCAAACTGCCTGCCTCCAAGGCTGTGCCCAGTCCGTGGTGACTGGAGGACACAGTCTCCTGGCGAGCAAGGGCCAGAAGGTGCAGTGGGGTCTGACATGGGGCTGGCAATCAAGGTATGGCTGCTGATTATTCATCCACACCCTGGGGAAGACAGTTAGGTCCCCCCCCCACTGCCACTGTGGAAATCAAAGTTCTCGGAGGCTGAGGGAGTTGCTTAGACAACTTTACTGCAAGTGACCACATCTGCTTTCATCCCCCCCACACCGCCCCCTCTCCCGGGAGCCGTCTTTCTTCCCTTTCCACCCCGGCCGTCACTCGCTGTTAACAGGAACAAGGAAGTATTGCTCTCCTCCATGAGTCCAGCATCCTTACCCCCCCAAAGACACCAGGACAAAGAGCCTGAAAGAGGGCATGAGGTGTCTGAAGCCCAGTTCGCGGAAGGCTGGGATCTCCTTGTGAGCTGCCTGTGGGACCTTGAGCAAGTCTCTCAATGTCTGGGCCTCAGTCGCTTTGCCTGTGCAGCAGGGTGCCAACAGGGCCGCCCCAGAGCTTGGCTTGGAAAGCTGCAAGGGAGGTTGCATTTCTGCACCGATGAGGCTGAGGCCGGGCATGGGACAGCTAGAGACTGGTCAGTGGGGATGCTTGCTCTGTGCATCCGACTGGAGACGCCAGCACCTCCATTCTTCCAAGCGGGCGGCTCTTGTCCTGAGGGAGCTTGCCTGGCCATCCTGATCCACGGCTCTTACCTTTCATCTCTAGGCCGCAGGTGTGCCAGGTTAGGCGAGCACACAAGCACACAATCGCTGAGCTACGTCCCTAGCCTAGCTTACAGGTTTATTTTTGTTTTCTGTGTCTGAGTGTGTTGCCTCTATGCCTGTGCTCCACATGTGCGTAGAGCCGTGGAGGCCAGATGGGGAGTCAGAGCCCCTGGAACTGGAGTTACAGACACTTGTGAGAGCTGAGAGCCTAACTGGGGTCCTTTGAGAGCAACAAGTACTTTTTTCTTTTCCTTTTTGTTTCTTTGGTTTTGTTTTATTGAGACAGGGTTTCTCTGTGTAACGCTGGTTTTCCAGGAAATTGCTCTGTAGACCAGGACTAGGCTGGCCTTGAACTCTATCTACCTCTGCCTCCCCAGTGCTAGGATTAAAGGTATGGGCCATCACAACCTGGCCAGGTTTCACATTGTAGCCCAAGTTGGCCTAGAATTTGCTGTGTATTCCAACCTGGCCTTAAATTCATGGGAATTTCCCATGCCTCCAACTGATTTGTTTGTTCGTTTTTGTTTGCTTGTTTTGTTTTTTCTTTTTTAACTAAAAGATTTATTTTGAGACAGGGTCTCTCTACATATCTCTAGCTGTCCTGGGACAGACTATACAGACCAGGCTGGCCTCAAACTCAGAGATCTGCCTGCCTCTGTCTCTGGAGTGTTGGGATTAAAGGCGTGGCCACCACGCCCAGCTGCTGATTCGTGTGTGATTTGTCCAGGTGCTTTTGGAGGCTGGGGTCATCAGACCCTCCCCCCCAGCTAGAGTTGCAGTGGTTGTGAATCACCCACCGTGGGTGCTGGGAGCCTACCAGGTCCTGTGCACGAGCAGTAAGCGCTCTCAACTGCTGAGCCATCTCTCTGCCCCGCCTGCCCATATTTATTTGTTTATTATTTTCTGCCTCACATTCCTGAGGGCTAGGATTTCAGGCATGTGCTGCCATGTCCAGCCAGATCACTATTTAGGAACTTAGCAGGCTGCCTGGGAACCCTGACAGCTGTCTGAGCAGTGCTAGCTTGGTGATGTGCGAACCTAGCTTTTGTGAGTCCAATTTTATTTTTAGCCCGGTCCCCGCAAGAGCTCAGTCCAAAACAATGTTTAAAGTTGCTCAGTGATGTCAGGCAGTGGTGGCGCACGCCTTGAGTCTCAGCACCCAGGAGGCAGACGCAGGTGGATCTCTGAGTCTGAGGCCAGTCTGGGTTACAGAATGAGTTCCAGGACAGCCAAGGCTACACAAAGAAACTGTCTCGAACCTCCCCCCAAGAAAGAAAAAATAAATAAATTTGTGAGACAGGGTTTCTTTGTGAAGTTCTGACTGTCCTGGAAATCACTCTGTAGATCAGGTGGCTTTGATCCACCTGCCTCTGCCTCCCGAGTGCTGGGATTAAAGGTGTGCACCACTATCTCCCAGGTCAGAAACAATTTTTTAAAAATCTATTTTAAAGGACGTTTTAAAAACGGAATTGTGTAGTCTATACAGCAAGCAGCCTAGAAGCCTAGACCAGCAGGGCAGAGGACAACCTGCAGACAGCCTGGGGGAGGTGGCGGTCACAGCTGAGTCTCTGGGTTCACTTGGCATATGAGGAGGAGAACGCACTGAGAGTCTAAAAAGTTCTCTCATCTCACCTGCACCGCCCTTTCCCTCTCTGCCAGAGCCCGTGTCCCAGCTGCAGACTGATGTCACACTGTACGATGGGGACTCGGGTCCCACCGTGAACCTGTCCTGCCTGGCATCCTCTGGCAGTCCACCCATCACCTACCATTTGGTCGGGGATGACGGACGTGTCCACGCACAGCAGAGGCCACTCCATGGGGAGCCCGCCACCTTCTCCATCCCGCTGTCCCAGATGTCGGGCTGGTTCCAGTGCCAAGCTGCAAACGGCATCAGTGCCAACAGCAGTGCCCGCATCCTGCTGCCCCCAGGTGAGAAGGCCCTTCCAGGCCGGGAGCAGGTGCTACGGCGTGCCCAGGAAGGTGGTCAGAGCTGGCCATGGCTGGACCTCTGCCCAGGAGCAGGATGGGCCTGAAGATGCCTCCCTTGTCCCTGGCCTAGCAGAAGCCCAACCCAAGCTCCTCACCGCCCTACAGGGGACCTCCTGCCCCTGATACCTACCTGCATCCTGGCTGGCAGTCTCATCTCCATTGCAGCCATTAGTGCTGGGGTTCTGAGCTCATCCAGGTAATCCATGGGGGCTTGACGGGGGTGTGGGGGTGGGGGATGAGCGGCTGACCACCTCTGTGGCCAGCAAGGGTCCTGAATGGGTTAGCCTTGTGAGACTGGTTGTCATCAAGGTACAAAGGGTGCCCAACCTGCAAATGCTGATTAAAGTCGAAAGTCTACGGTGTCCAGCACATTCCTTACACACCCCACCCTGACCAGGGCTCCCAGCTGACATCTGGAGGAGGGGCTACCCTATGGGTCTCATGGGGACTCCAGGGACTGGGCAGGAGCACCTGGCGTCCGTCGCCCTCCACAGAGGTCCCACCAGCCAGCCTTCTGCAGGCGTGAGGCCTGCCATTCCCCTCTCCCTCACATCTGACACGCACTGTGGCCAGGGCCTCTGGTCTCTGAGCACCAACCGCTGGCCTCTGGTGGTGGCCACTTCTCTCTCTCCTTGGACATGGCTCGGCCCCGGCTAGCACTTCTGGCTCCTCCTCCCAAGACTGTGCAGAGGCCAGACTCCTGGGAGGGCACACTGCGTCTCCGGGTGGGACCCATTGTTTTCATCTGTAAAATGGGTGGGGGTGGGAGTTTGCAGAGGCCTGGCTCCTGCTGACTGTGTGACCAGGGACCAGCGAGTGACCTGTTGGTGATTCAGTGAATTTAGTGGCGTGAGTAAACCCACTGATGCGCTTGAAACCATAAGATTGGGTGAGTGTGTCTGACCCAGACTGTCAACTCCATTGTCATCAGGTTGTGATCGGAAGACAGAGCCCAGGCTTGCTTCCCTGCCCTATACGGGAACCGTCCAACTGGAGCCAAAAAGAGCCTGAGGAGCGGGGGCAGAAAGGGTGTGTGCGTGCAGATCGGGGTACCAAAAACAGTGCACTCCCTGTTTGGGGGCCCAGAAGCCTAGGGCATTAGTGTGTATAAGGCCCAAAGAAATAAAACTGTGTGGTGTGTGGGAATTCTGCAGCATGAGTCACTGTTGGCCGTTCTCGCTACGAGAACACCAGTAGCTGGGTGGGTGTGCTTACTCACAGGAACACGGAGCCTGGCTCCTTAAACTTCTGGTCACAACCCCTTCGGGGGTTGCATAACTGAAAGGGGGGGTCACCGACAATTTGGCAACAGCCAAAGGTTTCTGTGTGTGGTGGCTCACATCTGTAATCCCAGAATTTGGGAGAAGTAGAGGCAGGAGGATCAGGAGTTCAGGGTCAATCTTGGTATGAGAGTCTGGTCTCAAAGAAACGACCAAATAAATCAAACAAGAATTGGGGCGCCGGCCGAGTGTGGTGGCGCACACTTTTGCTCCCAGCACTCGGGAGGCAGAGGCAGGCAGATCCATGTGGGTTGGAGGCCAGCCTGGTGTACAGAGCGAGTTCCAGGACAGCCGGAGCCACGCAGAGAAACCGTGTCTCGGAAAGAAAACAAAAGTCCCAGCCCATCTAGTGCCCTCCCCCTAACTTTCCCCCAGTGCGCCCCCTGGTGTGACAGGTTTCTGCCTCAGCTTCCCTTACTGCCCACCCCGTTACTGAGGTGTGTGTGTGCCCATTGCCCCTTACCCACTGGAGTGACTACGGACGCGCCATCTTGTCCTGACTCCATTTTGTGTCTGCCGCTGCTCAGTCCTCCACGCCCTCGACAGCCATGCCTGCTTTGGCAACGCATTTGTGCTCTCCACGTAAGGCTGTCTGTCTGGAGGCCTCTTGTCCGTCAGTGCGACCCCTGTGCTGGCACACAACCCCTTCACAGAGTAAGTACCAGGTTCCCTTTGTAAATGCTATTTTTCGGGGGGGCGGGGTAGCTGGGTTCTGTGAAATAATGATCTTATTTAGTTTTTAAGATTACATGCTTGTTGGGCAGTGGTCGCACACGCCTTTAATCCCAGGACTCAGGAGGCAGAGGCAGGCGGATCTCTGTGAGTTCAAGACCAGCCTGGTCTACAGAGCGAGTTCCAGGACAGACTCCAAAACAATACAGAGAAACCCTGTCTCGAAAAACAAACAAACAATATGTCATTCTTTTCTGTATGTGCTTGTGTGTTTTGAGACAGAACCTCAGATAGCTCAGGCTGGTCTTGAACTCCTTATCCCCCTGCCTCCCCTCCTCCTCCTGAGACTAGATACTTTTCGGTGCACGATCTTGGAGCAGACTCTCTGGCCTTCAGAGCCTTTTCTCTGGCAGGTCCTGGAAGAGTGGGTAAAGGGTTGTCCTCCAGCCCCTCCCAGGCCTAGCTCGGCAGGAAAGAGTAGCCGATTGGCGGGGCCAGACTTGTTCCTACTGTCGTCCCGAGGCTCGAACCCAGGAACCTCTGATGTTCTAGGCAAGAACTTATGCCCCAGTCCTTTGGTCTGGAGCAGAGTGGTGAGCTCTGGACATTTCTGGGTTGGTGGGATTCGGGTGTCTGGAGAGCTTTCTGGGGAGGGCCAGAAGCCAGAGCACTGTGTAGGTGTAAGGGGGCGTGGTCGCCAAGGGTTTCTCTTCCAGGACGCTCTCCGACCCTTTCTGGTTGAACTTAGCAGGATAGACCTCCCAGGGGTGAGCTTTTCCTTCCACTCTGCCCCACCCTGGCGCCGCAGGCGCAGCTCAAAGTTCCTGCCACCTGCCACCTGCCACCAGGGCAGGCGCAGGAGGGGCGCTCGGCGGCGAGTCCCTGCGGTTGGCCACGCCCCCGCTCGGCGGCTGGCCACGCCCCCGCTCGCCGGCCGGCCACGCCCCCGGGGCCCAGAACGGGGCGGGGCGGCCCGGCTGGTTCTCTGCCCATCCGCGGCTCGGCGGCGACGGCGACATGGAGAGCGGGGCCTACGGCGCGGCCAACGCGGGCGGCTCCTTCGACCTGAGGCGCTTCGTGTCGCAGCCTCAGGTGGTGACGCGCCTCGTGAGCATGGTGAGTCGGCCGGAGGGGGGCCCGGAGCCGCGCGCGCCGGCCACTCGGGCCCCGCGGGCCGCCGCCGGCTTCCGAGCGCGACAGGTGGCAGCGGCCGCCCGTCCCAGGCCTGGCGGAGAGCGCGGGGCCCCCCGGCGCGCCCCTCCGCGTCTCCCGTCTCTTCCGGGCCGTGCGTCCTGTCGCCTCTCCCACTGCGCGGCTCCGGATCTTGTCTCACCCACTCCCGGCCCCTCCGCACCCTCAAACCACTGGTCCCGGCCGGGCGCCCCGGTGCGGGATGTCCCGGCGGTGTCCCGGGGAGGCAGGCCCTTCGCCCTGCTGGCAGTGGGTGGGGCTGGGGGGGGAACCACGCCACAGCAGGTGGCCTGCGCGCCGCGGCTCCCAGCGTGGGGGGATTTCACCTGCAAGGGACTTTCTGAGGCCGCGTGGGGTGCAAAGGGGGGGGGGGGAGGGTGGCCTGGCGCCCCGAAGCAGGGGCTTCCTTCCCGCGCAGAGGTCTGCGGAACCCTCTGCCCAGCAGCCGGGCAAGCCCTCCGGTACCAGGCGCGTATGGCGGCTGTCTGTGTCTTGCTCGGGACGGGAAACACTGAGAGCGGATTGCTTTAGCTGCTGGCACTGAGGGCGGGCGGGCCTGCTGCTCCCCGGGGGACCTGGGCCTGCGGTCCTGGAGGTGCCCCGGCTCCCCGAGCCTCCCAGCCTTGCGGCGGACTCTAGAAGACTCCGTCCTGGGCTGGACCCTGTCAGTCAGGCTGGCAGTGCCAGGAGTCCTGACCCAGACTCTGCACCCGGCCTGGGAGTTCCGGCTTCATCTGCGGCGGGAGGCGGGGCTTGTGACTTCAGTTCCACGGCCCTACGGAGAGCGTTCAGGGTTAGGGTTGGAGAATCGGTTTGCTCTGTCTGGCCCTGGTGGTCTGGAGGCAGCCAGGTGCCCACAGGCTCGGCTCCCATCTGCCGCGTCGAGGTGGGCTTTGGCAGTGGCCTTGAGGTGTGAGAAGGAGGCGAAAATGACTTGGGCGATTCCAAAAGGGCTGTTTTCCCCCAACGGGACAGCTTCTCCTGGTGTTTCCCACCTCGGCCCTGGCTCCTGTGGATCGGACCACCCCACGAACCTTGTCCTGGGTTCCAGACTGTAGGTCTCTTCAGGGGACCAGCCAGTGTGCCAGAAAATCTGGAAGGCCTTGTAGGGGGAAGGCTGGCTAGCTGGGGGGTCACTTGAGCACTAGTGGAGTCTTGGAAGGGGCCAGGGCTGCTACTGAAGGGTGTTCTGGAAGATGCTGGATGGTGTAGAATTGACTCGGGACAGGGCGTTGTGGTGAGGGTTGGATGAAACCCTTGGGTTTTGCCGCCGGGATTTTGTGGCCCATCTTGTTGAAAACTCCTTCAAATGGATGTGGCGGCTCACACCTGTAATCTCAGCACTGGGTGGTTAAAGGCAGGATGATGGTTACAGGCTTCAGGCCAGCCCCAGCCAGAGTGAGAGCCTGTCTTCTGTGAGTCTGAGTGTTTGCCTGTGTGTGAAGGGGTTCCATGTGCATGCTTGGTGTCCACAAGTCAGAAGGTGGCTATCCGGCCCCCCGAAACTGGAGTTCCGGGTGGTTATGAGCCACACGTGGGCGCTGGGAAACCCAGGTCAGCGCTCTTAACTGGGGCAGGTGTGGCCCAGGCCTTTAATCCCAGCGGTCTGCTCTGGAGGCAGAGGCAGGTTCTCGTGAGTTCCAGGACGGCCAGGACTGCATAGTGAGACCTCTCTCAAAAACAAACGAAATCCACCAACAGCGTGGGGTGCACTTGCCCAAAGAGGATGGGATAGGATTGGGGGAGCCCCAAGCAAGCTTGGTAGTACATGATTGTCATCTCATCATTTGGGAGGTGAGGCAGGAGGGTCAGGAGTTAAGGTCATCCTGGTCTACACAGAGTACAGCCTGGGCTAAATGAGACCCCCTTCACCCAAAACAGACAATGAAAAACCCCAAACAAAAACCAAACCCAAACAAACAAAAACCCAGCCAGGAGGCAGAGGCAGGCTGATGTCTGTGAGTTCAAGACCAGCCTGGTCTACAGAGAAACCCTGTCTCAAAAAAAAAAAAAAAAAAAAAAAGCAAAAAAAAGAAAACCAAACCCAAATCTCATTTGCAAATGGAGATAAGGGGATTATTCTTTGTCTTTGTCACAAACCCAAATGAGATGACACCTGTAGTCAGGCAGCTAGGGATAGCCCTTTCCTGCAATCCTGCAATAGCCCACCCAGTCTGTCTCCGGCCCCCGGTGGTGAGGAACTGTGGATGACGCCCTGGCCACAACCTGCCCATCACCTGACTCCCAGGAGTCCAGAAGGGGTCGAAGCGCCGCTCTCCTAACAGGGCATCAGTAGAGAGACAAGAGACATCTGATGTCCCTGCTAGGAACCTCATCTCTGGGCCCCAAGAGGAGTCTGTGCGGGACATGGCCCACAGGGGTCTGCGCCTGTCCATCGACGCCCCTCTCCCTCAGGTCTTGGCCTTGATCGTGTTCTCCTGCATCTTCGGCGAGGGCTACAGCAACACTCATAACACGGATCAGTTACACTGTGTGTTCAACCAAAATGAGGATGCCTGCCGCTACGGCGGCGCCATCGGGGTGCTGGCCTTCCTGGCCTCGGCCTTCTTCCTCGTGGTCGATGCCCTTTTCTCCCAGATAAGCAATGCTACCGATCGCAAGTACCTGGTCATTGGCGACCTGCTCTTCTCAGGTATGCCTGTGGGGCCAGGGCGTCACAGCCGAGGGACCTCGGTGGTGTTGGGAGGGGTTGCCGATAGCCACTCAGGGTCACGAGCCCCACTTGAGGCTTCCCCTGGGTCCCCTTGTACGCTGGGATGGCACACGAGGCATCCTGACTTCAGAGACTCAAGGGTGTTGGGGCGTAAGGGTGGGGCGTGGCACTGGGTTTCTGGACTCGCCCACCCCACAACTGACACCTAAGCCCTCACTTCCCTCTTCTGGCCACACAGCACACAGCCTTGGGAGGGTCCTTTCCTTGAGTCCCTCCTGGGCCCCCTGGGAATCCCGGCTGTCCCCGGGGCCCACTCTTCCCTCCTTGTTGTCTCCCTAGCTCTCTGGACGTTCCTGTGGTTCGTTGGTTTCTGCTTCCTGACCAACCAGTGGGCAGCCACCAAAGCTGAGAATGTGCTTGTGGGAGCGGACTCGGCACGAGCCGCCATCACCTTCAGCTTCTTCTCCATCTTTTCCTGGGTAGGTGGGCCGGGGAGGGCAGCTCTGGAGGCTTCGGTGAGGACTGAGGTCCCCTTGCCCTGCCCACACCTTGGGTCTCCCCCTGCAGGGTGTGCTGGCTTCCCTGGCCTACCAGCGTTACAAGGCTGGAGTGGACGCCTTCATTGAGAACTACGTGGACCCCACCCCAGACCCCAACACAGCCTACGCCTCTTACCCCAGTTCCTCCGTGGAAAACTACCAGCAGCCCCCCTTCACCCAGAACGTGGAGACCACTGAGGGCTACCAGCCTCCCCCTGTGTACTGAGCAGCCAGGGGCCAAGAGGCAGGGAGAGTGCTTGGGGCCGCTCCTCTCCCCTGGACTTTTCTCTCTGGAGGTGGCTGCCTGGAACTGCAGTCCCTTGCCTGTTACAGTTGACAGCCAAAGAGCCCATTTCTGCATCCTAGCTGCAGCCTGGCAGAGCACACCCGAAGTGCCTGTGCCCAAGGGGTTTCACCACCGCCCAGCCAATCCTCCAGGGCATTTTTTAGGAAAGGGTTTTTCACTAAGATCTTCTCTCTCTGCCAACCCCCGGTACCGGGGATGGTGCCCAGGGCCTTGAATTCGCTTAACCAGTGCCACCAATGAGCTGTGTGCTAGCTCTTGCTGCTTTTGATAACCCTGGCCCATCTCAGCCAGAAGCAGATGCTTGCTTTGATAAATGCCATAGCTTCCCCTCAGCTCAGCTTGAGGCCACCGGAGTCCCGACTATCTTTTTTTCCTTCCAAAGTCGAGGTTGGGAGTCCATGCACCTGCCTCCTTGGAGTGCTGGGCCGAGACTACCCACACCCTCACTCAGGTTCACTACCCAGCTTTGGCTGGGCTCCATGCTCACTGCTGTCTTCTGGGGTCACCACTGCGCCAACTGTCCCAGACTGCTTGCCTGACAGCTGTGGAGCAGGTAGGGGACCGTGCTTATCTCTTCCCTCTGGCTCCTGCCCCTGGCAGGAGGGAGGAACTTAGCCTGGAGAGAGCACCCAGCTTTATGTAAATATTCCCCAGCAATTAGATACCAGTGAGGGCAGGAACCCCTGCACTGAATGTATTGGGAGACTTGGTGGGGACCCCCTGCCCTCAGGTTCTGTAGAGTAGTTGGGAGATGGAATAAACGGTTTTTTTCTCAGTGTGCTGTCCCTTGATGGCGCCTCAGGCTAGGGGTAGAAATACACTTTGGTAGGTCTTATTTTGAGAAAAGGCTTCAAACTTTAACCCTCCCCGAATGTTGGTTTCAAACCCTGGACTTCATGCTAGGCAACTGAGCTATACCCTAGCCTTTCAAAGACAGTGTCTACATAGCCCAGGCTGGCCTCAGAACTTACCACAGATGCTGAAGCACAGGCCTGTGCTGCCATGCTTAGCTACACCAGGATCTCACTATGTAACCCAGGCTAGCCTCCAACTTGAGGCAATCCTCCTGCCTCCGCCTGACTCCAGACCTTTTTTTTTTTTTTTTGAGAGAGTCTCACTGTGTAGCTATGGCTGTCCACCTGGCTCTGCCTCCTGAATGCTGAGAGAAAAGTTATAAACCATCATGCCAACTAGAACGTGTACTTTGAACATGGGGTGGCAGCTCCCCCAATGGGGTCTTCATTCTTCACACTGTCTTCTACTGCACCCTAAAATAGCCACTGTGTCAGCTTGTAAAGATGGGTTGTTCCTATTGGCATTGGTGGCGCACGCCTTTAATCCCAGTACTCGGGAGGCAGAGGCAGGCGGATCTCTGAGTTCGAGACCAGCCTGGTCTACAAGAGTTAGTTTCAGGACAGCCTCGGAAGGCACAGAGAAACCCTGTCTGGAACTCACCCACCCCCCCCCCAAAAAAAAAGGGTTGTTCTTGCCCGGGTTCTGCTGCCTTCCTAGAGCCTGGAGGGGCACGGCGGGTGCAGCTGCCCCCCTGGACGCCTCTTCCCGAGCAGACATTTCCCATCAGAAGTGAAGGGCACAGTGGGGGAGGTCGAGCCTGGTCCTTCTTGATGCCTCCCTGGGACATGCCAGAGTGGACCCATCTCTATGAGGAAGCAGTGTGCCCCTGAGGCAACTCTTGGCTTTTGTGCAATGATGAGGCCGTCAGTAATGGGTTCTGACAGGGCCTTTCAAAATCCCAAGTGTAAATTAACGGGGCTGCTATACCAGGCTCTGAACTGTCAGCCTCCCCCCCAGAGCATGCCCTGAAGCTGGGCACAGCACCACAGACATGTCTTAGACCCAGGTCTTTGGCCTTCAAGGGAGTTGTCACAGTTCACTTTCCAAGGCACATCTGAGCTGTCCTCTCAACCCAAATTACCGAGTGTCCGTTCACAAAACCTGACCTCCCAGGGCCGGCTAGAAACACCATCCCCTTGTCTCTCCCTGGTTCCTTTTGCATTTTTGTCCCGAAACCAACCAGACAGAAGTTCCCCTTGGGCTGTGGTGGAGACCATTAGTGCTACAAAAAGACGTGGGTAGAGATCCCTGCCCCCAAGTCATATGAACCCTGGCTGCAAGTTTTGGGGAAATCCAGGTTACAGAGAAATATGCTCTCAAGTAGCAAACTTTAATATTAATCATTCATTTTACACTATGGCACAAGAAGCACAGGCTCTCCCCAAGAGTCCTGAGTCACGGCACTGGGCCCCCGAGTAGGGCAAGACCAGTGCGCACTGTGTAAAGATGGCTCCAGGGGCCGTTGTGGGCCAAGCTTCAGCAGAGACGGGGCTGTGAAGGCCGGAGCCTAGGTAGGGGGCGGGGCCCGCAAGAGTGACAGCCACCAAGGAGGAAGAAGCCGGCACCTCCAATGTCACAACACCATGTGGCTTTGTCCTCACCTCTGGCTGGATGTCAAACCCTAACCACCAGGCAGGCGCTGGCTCTAGTCTGGGCTGAAGCATCCAAGCAACCAAGAAAGGAACTAAAAAAGGCGTGACAAGCACGTGAGCCTGTCTGGGGCACGCTGTCCGTCAGGCAGTCCCAGGTCCTGTCAGTTGGTTGAGTTGTGCTGTAAGACTTGCTGAGGGCTGAAGAGCTTCCTAACAGCCGAGGCTAGCTCTCCAGGCTGTCCCAGCACCGGGCAGTTCTCTTTGTTGTCTGGCCCAGCAGGCTGGACCGAGGACTTCTTAAAGTAACACAGGCGGCACACGGAGTGGTACTTGTCTGCTCCGCCAATCACCTCCACCTGGTGGACAGGGCCCCGGGAGGGATGCGTGAGGGTGGACTCAGCCCAGGCCCGCCCCATCCCACCCGTGGACGGCAGGCACAAGGAGGTACCTCCTTCTCCAGGCCCAGCCTCTTGGTGTAGGCAGCTTCTCGGAAGCACTCCATACACACGGCAGTCAGCTTCACCACGCTCTCGGCCAGGGGCACCAGGTTCAAGATGCTGCCGAAAGCCTATACACGGGACAGCGGGTGCGTTTGGTCGTTTCGCCAGGCATTTCCCTTTCTGTCTGTGTTCACATGTGCATGCGTGTGGAGGCCAGAGAGCAAGCTTAGGGGCTGTTCCAGCACTGTCCACCCTGGTCTTTGTTTTTTGGGAACAGGGTTTCCACTGGCTTGGGGCTTGCCGTGTAGGCTAGGTGGGCGTCCGGGTGAGCTGAGACCCGCCTGTGCCTGCCCCCCAGTGGTGGGGCAGTAAATGCACACCACCAGGCCTGGCAGTTAAAAAGATCAAGCAAGCACGTTACAGCCTGAGCTCTGCCAGCCCCAACTTTTAGACCCTATGATTCAGGAGACCTCATCCCGATCCTGTTAGACCCTATGAATCAGGAGACCTCATCCCGATCCTGCTTTTCTAAGCCACACCCTAGTGCTCTAGACCCCTTGGCCCATTCAGAGCACCCGCCAGCCAGAAGCTCTTATTACGAACATACCTACTTCCGGGGACATCTTGTCTCCGGCTCAAGATCCCCACCTCCCTCTCACGACCCACGGCCAGGCCTGAGTCAGACACCTTACCTTTCTCTGGAAGGTTCCGTCTAGTGCTGCCACGATCACTGTCTTGCCTGCATTGGCCATCATTTCACAGAAGTCCACGATGTCAGGGAACTGGGAAAGGAGGAAAAGGTGAGACGGTCCCTGAGCAGGGGCCTCCTGGAGACCCCGATGGGCCCGACCACTCATCAGCCCAGAGCTACGAACCAGCCCATGCCACATTCCCGTGAGACACCCGCCTGCATGCCCACGGCTACCCGGTCCCTTCCCTGTGGTTCAGCAATGTGACACTATCCAGGGCTTGCTTGACTTCCATACTTGTGCTAAATGGAGAGGCTAGAGCGTCCCCTCAGTCCTCTGGGGAAGCTGCCCCTGCCATACTTTTTTTTAAAGATTTATTTATTACATATACAGTGTTTTGCCTACATGCCAGAAGAGGGCACCAGATTGAATTGTAGATGGTTGTGAGCCACCATGTGGTTGCTGGGAATTGAACTCAGGACCTTTGGAAGAACAGTCAGTGCTCTTAACCTCTGAGCCATCTCTCCAGCCCGCCCCTGCCATACTTTTAATCGATCAATCTACAGCTGCCAGTGAACAAAGTTTGGTGCTTAAAGCCCGTGTAGGTGCCGTTCAGGCAGCTTTAGAAGCTAAACACAGCTTGTTTAAAACAGACTTAGGGGAGGGCTGGGCTGGCACAGCAGGTAACAAGCGCACTTGCTGCTCTTGCAAAGGACCTGGTTCAGCTTGTTAGTACCGGTGCGCTCACTCACAACCACCTGTTAATTCCAGTTCCAGGGGCCCCAGTGCCCTCTTCTGGCCTCGATGGGCACCACACACACGGTGCACATACATACATACATACATACATACATACATACATACATACATACAGATAAACACTCAGGCACATCTAAAAACAAAGGAAGGAACTTTGCCAGGTGTGGTGGTGTACGCCTTTAATCCCAGCACTCAGGAGGCAGAGGCAGATGGATTTCTGTGAGTTCAGACCAGCCTGATCTCTAGGACAGTCAGAGAAAATCTGTCTTGAAAAACAAACAATTGTGAGAGAAAATGGTTCTTGGCGATGAGAAACAAGAGGCGTGTGCGCTGGTTGCCCAGCTGGCTCCTGACACAGCTGTAGGTGGGCCCTTGCCCTGTTCCCAACACCCGACCTTGCTGGTTTCTGTTCTTTCAGACACGTCCAAGAATGCGTGTGAACCTGTACAGGCCAAGACCAACACTGGGCGTTTTCCTTAATAGTCTTCACCTTGTATGTTTATTTTTCTTTTTTGAGACAGAGTCTCACTTTGTAGCTCTGGCTGGCCTGGAACTTGCTATGTAGACTAGGCTGGCCTTGAACTCAGAGATCTACTTGCTTCTGCCTCTCAAGTTCTAAGATGAAAGGCCTAGGCTACCAAGCTTGGCTTTTCCACCTTGTGTTTGAGACAGGGTCTCTCTCCCACTGAATCTAGAGTTCAATGATTCAGCTGGGCTGGCTGAACATCAGCTCCAGGGCTTCCTGTCTCTGCCTCCCTAATGCTGGGATCACGGACACTGGCTGCAACCAATGTTTTACAGGGAGCTAGGAATCAGCTCCGGTCCTCATGTTTGCAGAGCCAGTACCTCATTAACCGAATTCTCTCCCCAACCTTCTGAGTGCTGAGTTAATAGGTGTGGCCACTGTGCCTGGTTCTTCAGACTGGTTTTGGCTTTAATACCCCCCCCCCCCCCCCCCGCCACCCCAATGCTCTACCATTCCCATGTGCCTTCCTCCTTATTCCCTCCCAGTTGTAGTCCTCCAACATGGGTGAGCTGGAAGTTCCAGTTTTGTCTCCAGAACCTGGAATGCCTCAGCCAAAAGGGCAGAGACTTGGAATGAATGTGATTGGTCCCTAGACCCAGCTATCCCCACAACAGTCACAGCATGTGACATGGCCTGCTCTATAAAAACACATGTATATAATTAGAAGCATCCAGGCTGGGCTGGCACTCACTCAGAGTCCTGGCACTGGCTGAACATAATCTCTTGGGTCAACATTGGGCAAGGCATCCTAGCCATCACGGATTAAAGACCCCTCCCCACTTACATCTGAGCAGCAACATAGGTACAGTCTATGCCAAAAGGAACCAGTCAGGCACCACCCTCCTGCCAGGCCCCTCCCACAACCCTTTTTTTGTTTGTTTGTTTTTCATGACAGGGATCTCTCTGTATAACAACCTTGGCTGTCCTCGAACTCAGAGATCCGCCTGCCTCTACCTCCTGAGTGCTGGGATTAAAGGCGTGTACCACAGACGCCCGGCTCCCTCCTACACCTAAGGGATCAGGTCCCTGAATTCTCCCGGTCCAAAGCAGAGCCAGGCTCCAGCCCTCCAGCCAAAGGGAGCCCTCTCCCCTCCCTAGAGTCCCGCTGTTCCATGACTACTGTCTGTCCTGCTGCAGGTTTTAGAATCTGCCATGTCGAGCTCACAGGGCATCCCCAGTGGCCTCTGGCTCAGAGGTGCTGGTGAGACAAACTCCCTTTTCTAGTGTGTTCTATGTCCTAGGCCGAGCCTGTCATCACCTGTGTCAAACAGAAATGAAACACAAAGTCCTTGAAGATCATAACTTCTACTCTTGCCAAGGCCTGCGGGCCCTAGCGCGGGCAAATGGACACATGGAAGGCTCCATGCCCTCAGCCGTGGCTTCGGGGGCCCTAGACGACCCTCTACCCACTGTCCAAGGCTAGGACACAGGAAGGGAGGGAGGTCCCTTTCTTTTACAATAGGGAGATCCAGAATTCTGTAAAGAGCAGGGTCCTAGAGCCTGGGGCACAATGGAATAATTGTGGTGTTTATATAGCGTGCACAACGAATACTCACTGAAGCTGGGGTGGGGCCGGGGACCTGTAACCTCAGCCCTCGGGAGGCTGGCCTGGACCACAAAGCAAGGCTCCATCTCAAAAATCAAAGTATGGGGCTGGAGAGATGGCTCAGAGGTTAAGAGCACTGGCTGCTCTTCCTGAGTTCAATTCCCCCCAGCCACATGGTGGCTCACAATCACATCTATAATAGGTTCTGATGCCCTCTCCTGGCAGGCAGCTATACATGCAGATAGAGCACTCACACATCAAATGCATACATAAATAAACCTTAAAAAAAAAAATCAAGGGCTGGAGAGATGGCTCAGCAGTTAAGAGCACTGACTGTTCTTCCAGAGATCCTGAGTTCAATTCCCGGCAACCACATGGTGGCTCACAACCATCTTGAATGAGATCTGGTGCCCTCTGCTGGCAGGCAGAAGACTGTATACACAATAAATAAATAAAATGTTGTCTCCTGTCGGTTAGGACGGGTAACAGACTGGGGAACCTGGTAGGCTGCTGCCACGTGTGAACCCCTGGGAACACCAGGCGAGCATAGCTAATAAGCAGATCACTGCAGCAGGCCTCAGGGGAGGGGCTGTCCCTATCCTGACTCAATGTCTGCACAGCTGTCACCTCCAAGGTTTCCCTGAGGGTGGAGAACAGAGCTGGCCTGTCCAGGTGGATGGACAGATGCCAACTGGGATGAAATCCAGAGCTGTCACAGCATGTCGAGGGAAGGCTGGGATGGGGCAGGACTTACACCTGAAGGGCATCACTGTTCTGGGGAACAGTCTGCCCCGCCCCCCAGCCTGGCTCCTTCCAGAGTGTGAGAGCAGTGGCCAGCCAGAGAGCCATAGCAGATTGCAGCCTGTAGAATGTCAGCAAGTGACATAGAGCCTCTGCCCCAAACCCCAGGCCTCCCAGGGCCACCATTCAGCTTGGTGAGCAAGTCACTAGGAGCCACAAGACAGGGAGAAATTATTTTCTATCGAGTAGTTTATTATGTCACCAGGTTGCACACTAGGGACATAGATCCCATCTTTATGTGACAACTAGACTTTTAAGATTTTAAGTTATATGTGTCTGGGTGAGGGTATGTGTGTGTGCATGCATGCAGGTGCCCGCACAGGCATCACAGAACTGGAGTTATAAGCAGCCGGCACTGCCAAACGTGCGTGCTGGGAACCATATCTGGGTCACCGCCAGCAAGTGATCTTGACTGAGCTTTCTCCCCAGCCCACTGATGTGTCTTAAAATGTTTATTACTACGTATGATGGGGACACTCTCACTCATACCTTAGCACATGTATGGAGGTCAGAGGACAACTCTGTGGAGTAGCTCTCTGCTTTGACCCTCACATGGGTTGCAGGGATCAAACTCGGGTCTCTAGACCTGTGCACTGAGCTGCCTCGCTGGCCCTATCCTGAATTACTTAAGACAAGGTCTCACCCTGTAGCTGAGGCTAGCCCTGAATTCCTGATCCTCTTCCTGCCTTAGTCTCCTAAGTACAGGGACTCTACAGCACCAACTAAGCCACCAACAGATATTTTTGAAAACATCTGTGATGTTCATGTTCAGTTTTGGAGTCTGGTACACATTTGTTAAGCCTCTGTCCTTGCCTTCCCTCATGGACTAGATATAACCTTAAAACTGGAACACACACACACACACACACACACACACACACACACACACACACACACACACACACACGGCTCGCGATCCTTTTTGTTTACAAGCTGCTGTGTAGCCCAGGTTGACCTTAAACTAGGATACTCTGAACTGATTCCCACCCCGTCTCTAGTGCTAGGATTACGAGCACATTAGCACACCCTGTTCATGTGACAGAGGATGGAACACAGGGCCTTGTGCGTGCTGGGCAGGCGCCCTGCCAGCCAAACCTCCCCAGCCCGGCTCAGGCACTCAGAGAGAGGCTCCTGGCCGGAACTTCCAAGGATTGGCAGGGAAATTAAGACCACGAAAGACAATTCCCACCCGTTCAGGGGATGACCTGGAAAAGACAGCCAGGGATGCAGCTGTCCAGAAAGGACAAGAGCAAGACATTTTAGAAAAATAAAGCACACAGACTAACCCCCACACCAAGCTAAGGCTGGTTGTGTGTGCACCGGAGACCCAGCCACCACAGAGGTCAAGGCTGGGAGCTCTTCCCTGACCTGTACCCCAGTCTGTATGGGGAAAGAAATCCTAGATGACAACAGTTTGCGTACAGTCAAGGGGATTCGCACACCACGGAAGACAGGTTAGTCTTTCCCGAAGGATGAAAGAGGGACAGGAGGGGCCGGGGTGTGGGTGTGGATTCTGCTTCAAGCTAACTTACAAACTGCCCTTCGTCGATGCCAATGACAGCCACACCCATGGCCTCCTGGGCCACATCCCGGAGCAGGCAGGCCGGCAGGGCCTCCATGGTGTTCCTGGGAAGACAAAGAAAGGCCAGAGGGTAAGCAAGGCCAGCAGCAGAGACTATCTAGGCCCAGACACAGGGTCCGCAATACTCTGAGCAGCAAAAACTATTTTTATTTCTTCTGAAATTCAAAATAAACGAATAGGGATAACACCGACCTAACCACTGCCGTCAGAACATTTAAAACTTTAGGGAGATTCTGGACTATAGCCCAGAGGTAGAGCAGCTGGCAGCTGATGCCCAGGGCTCTAAAGTCAGTGCCAAAAGATAGAGCAAAATAATGCATTTGAGACAGGGTCTCTCTGCAGACCAGGCTGCCCCGAACTCACTCTGTAGACCAGGCTGCCCTGGAACTCATAGAGATCCTCCTGCCTCTGTCCACCAAGTGCTGGGATTAAAGGTGTGCATCACCGCACCTGGAGAAAGTTTTTTTTGGGGGGGGGGGTGTTTTTTCGAGACAGGGTTTCTCTGTATTGTTTTGGAAGCTGTCCTGGAACTCACTCTGTAGATCAGGCCGGCCTCAAACTCAGAGAGATCCGCCTGCCACTGCCTCCCGAGTGCTGGGATTAAAGGTGTGCGCCACCAACGCCTGGCCAAAAGTTTTTATAGATATGCGTATTTGTGGTTTTCCTGCGCCTGTGACTGTGTATCGAGGGTACATCTGGTGCCCTCAGGTCCCTCAGGTCAGGAGAGGGTGTCAGTTCTCCTGGAACTGGAGTCACCGATGGCTGTGAGCCACGGTGCGGGTGCTGGGAACTAAACCTGGGTCCTTGGGAAGCGACTGAGCCATCTCTCCAGCCCCACAAGAGTCTAGCACCCAGGAAAGCTGTGACACGTTTGGGGATAGTCTGTGAGTGGCAACTGAGACAAGGAATGTCCTGTTCAGTGTTCGGAATGGTAGGCGAGCTTGGGAGCCAGACAGCAGAGTGGCCCTCTGGAGCCCCCAGCACTCATTGCCCTCCACAGGTTAAAGGACTCGCCACATCACATGGCTACCTGCTGGCAGAGCAGAGACGGGAGGCCCCTGCTTACAAACAGGCCTTGCCGCACACCGCTTCCCGGCAAGGAAGAACCCACCCAGGCCTCCGAAAACCAGTTTGGATGTGCTCCAGGACGCCATGAAAGGACACGGGAACCCGCCCCCACTGCCCCACAGCTTTCTAAGGAGTGGAATGCAGGGCTGCGTCCAGTGCCTGCCCTGTTTCCTTCTGTCTGGTGTCTACCTCACTTTCATAACAAACTCAGAAAAAGCAGCTTCCGAAAACACAGACAAGCAGTGTCCAGTGTTAGTAAGCATACAAACTTCCGCAACCCTTGGCCTAGTTACTCCCTCAGTCATCAAGATCTGGGAAGCAGGGCATGCCAGAACTGGTCTACAATCCTAGCACTAAATGGGGAGGGGCTGGATATGGTGTCGCTCGCCTGTCATTCCAGGAACAGGAAGGGTCACAAGTTACAAGGCCCACCCAAGCTACACAATGAGACCACCCATGTCTCAATAAACAGGTTGGAGAGACGGCTCAGCAGCTAAGATTACTTTGCTGTTCTTGCAGAGGGCCTAGGTTCAGTCCCCAGCACCCACATGACGGATCACAACCATCTATACAACTCCTGTTCCAGGGAATCTGATGTCCTCTTCCGGCCCCTCCTGGTACCAGGCAAGGAAGTCGTGTAGACCTTCATGCAAGCAAAACACAAGATAAAAAGATTTTAAAACCAGCTGGGCGGTGATGGCCCACACCTTTAATCCCAGCACTAGGGAGGCAAAAACCCGTTTTTGTTTTTTAAGCAAACCAATCAAAAACAGGGTTGAGACGTTGCAATGGGTGAAAGGCTCCCGGTGGAAGCATGAGGGCCAGGCACATTGGCGCTCGCCTTTAATCCTAGCACTGGGGAGGTAGAGGCAGAGGCAGAGACAGATGGATCCCTGTGGGTTTCAGGACAGCCAGGGCTCTGTAGAGAGAGCCTGTCTCAAAAACAAAAACAAAAACTGAAACGAACAAAAAGGCCTGACCAATCGAGTTTGGAACCCCAGAACTCACAACCCTGAATGAAAGGAGGCGGGAGGTATAGACACTAATGCCCGAGGATGTCCTCTGTGCACACACGCTCCAAACCCAGAGCCAACGCAACACTCTGCATTTTAAACTCTTTCCTCTCTCCCCCAGCAGAGCAGGCCGGAGAGGGACTGACTGGCTGTGGCCCACTCCAGACACTCGCCAGAGTGTTGCCTGCTCCCCGTTTGGTCCTTCTAGATGCTCAGCCCACCCTGTGTGGTGGATGCCGTGGTCTCACACGCACGCACGCAGAAGTGAAGATCTTGGCACAGAGCCTGATGGGAAGCACGGCTTGAATTGCAGCCCCAAGCCCCATTCCTAGACTTTGTTCACTCCATTCCGGTTCCGCCTCAGACGCCTGCCCTGCTCCAGGCTGCTCAACCTTGGCCCAGCCTGCAGCAACCCCGGCGTGCAGCGCCAGCCTCCAGGTCAGCTTTGGCTGTGTGGTGAGCCCAGGACACTCAGCAAAGAGTGTCTCAGAGCACCAACCCCCAAACTTGTCACCAAGTCACTCTATTCAGCGCCCGCCCTCCGGCTGCAAAGGGAAGTGTCCACTCAGAACGGCGGAGGCCACCGGATGGCAGGGAGCTAACTAAAGATGGAAAAAAAAGAAATCTGTGCCGACAGTCTGCAGCCTCTACCCAGGCGGAACCCGGGGGGCTCCCAGCACAATGTGCGATTGGGGGCGGGTCACTCTAAATATTGAGGCTTACTCCTGCCCGCTGGAGGCCTGTAGCAGCCCACGCCTTCTCCAGTTCTGACAAGGACCCCTGGCCCTGGTACGTCAGCCAGCATGCCTCAGGGGTTTCCGCAGGGCAGGATCAAGGGGGTGGGACTGACCGGTCATGCGTGGAGAAGCTGCTGCTATAGCGCGTGTCTTTGGCGTACTTGATGACCAGGCATTTGTACTGGGCGATCTGGAAGCGCCGGACTCTCCTCATGAGCTCCGTGCTGCAAGAGTTACCAGGGCAGGTGAGGCCCGAGCGAAAGGCGGCTCGCCGCCACCACCTAGCGGTGGGCACCCCGAACCTCACCGGTCCACAAAGACTGACACCCCTCCCCGCCCCCCCGCTGTCCTGAACAAACTTGGGAGTTTTCTGAATGAACTTCGAAAAGCTTCTTCAGGCAGCGACAAAACGCTTGCTCCAGGGCCCCAGATCTAGAGCCTGGGCCTCGCCCTGCCGAGCACTTGGACAAGACTCAGATGACACCGGCCCAGTCAGGCACAGCGTGGGGCGCCAGGTATGGTCGGGCGCCCCCTTTAAACCCAGCCTGGTCTACAGAGTGGATTCCAGGCGAGTCAGGGCCACACAGAAAGTCACTGAGTAAAAACCAGCGACAAAAAAAAAACAAACACCAAAAAATAAGACGAAGAAACCTCGAGTAGTGGGAAACTTACTCCAGGTGGGACTCCCAGCGAGGGGGACCCTCACCCCAGAGGAGACTGGGCTCCGTGGCTTCAGGGGGGCTCGCATGGGGACAATTATGCCCGAGGAACTGTCACGGGGCTGCCCTGTGGGCTTCTGGGGATGTGGGCTGGGGGGTCTCCGCTGTACCCCGATGTGATCCCCTCGGCAATACAGAAGGGGTCTCTGGAAGAAGGGGCTGTGGCTTGGGCCGGAGGGAGACAGGAATCCAGGATGCAGAGTTTGGGCGGGAAGGCGCGCACAGAGGTCCGGAGGGCGGAGTTCCCGCCTAGTCGGGGCTGAGGAGGTGGGGGAAGCGGCAGAGGAGAGCCGGGGTGGGGGAGCCGGGGAGAGCCGGGGGGAGCCGGGGGAGCCGGGGTCTGCAGACAGGGGGAAGCCCACCCGCCCCGAAGGCCCACTCTTTACCTTTTCCCTGAGAACATGGGTCCGAGGATCACCTAGGAGAGAAGTCATCTTTGGGGATCCCTGCTCGCGCACGCCCCGGGCACCAACCACCACCCCGACCACCGCAAGCCGGACCCCTCACCTGGATCTGCCCCCGGGTCTTGCTGGGGGAGCCGGGCAGCACGTTGGGCAGATTGATGTAACTCATGGCGGCTGTGCGAGCCTCAGCGGAGAGGGCCGGGGTCGGTGAGTGGAAAGCGACCTCGCTTTCGCGCTTTTCTTTAAATACTCACCGACCAATCCAAGCCGCAGACAGGGGCGTGGCGAGGGCGGGGCGCGTGTGGGCCCCGCCCCCTGCCTCCTCGTGTCCCTGCAAAGCCAGGAGCTCGGCCTCCTGAGCCGGACGTGGCCATGGCAGCCTCCACGCTTCCCGCGGGCGAGCCGCCCTGGAAGACCCTGTCTGCAGAGGTAGGGGGGATGCAGGCGCCCAGCACCCGGACTGGAGCGTTAGGAAGGCACCCGACCACCCCTCCGGGTGACCACGTGCCAGATTTCCTCATTTTCCCCCTTCAGGGCAGGTTTAGCCTGTTAACCTGGTTTTGAAGATGGAGCTAGGGAAAACTGAAGTCCAGCAGAACTAAGGGGCGAAGGGTTTGAACCTTGTTCTGAGGTTGCGCAATGTGGGTCTATGTTTATGTAGCCAGAGTCTGAAAGGTGTCAGGCTGGGGTCACTGCTGTGAGTCGCTAAGCCAGGCAGGCACCTTCAGGGGCAGACAATATTGAGCGACTTGAGAACATTCATTTGGTTTCAGCTAAAAATCTTTATGACTCACACAGAGCATGCCTAGAAGTGTTCTTTGCAGTATGAAGTTGTGTTTGGTTGTGTGCCATGGGTTATTGCAAGGGTTATCAACCACATACGAAACGTTTCGGCACTTGCTAATTCCTGTCCCTTGATGATTTCTTGACTGGTTAGCGTGTGTCGATTAAGCAGACAGGCATCTCAGGATCTGTTGAAAGTTAAGGACACTGTGGTTGTCCCCCTTCTTACAACTCTCTATCAGCCCGGTGGTGGCCCATGCTCTTAATCCCAGACAGAGGCAGGCAGGTCTCTGAGTTCGATACCAGCCTGGTCTACAAAGCAAGTTCCAGGACAGCCAGCGCTACACAGAGAAACCCTGTCTCGAAAACCTAAAAATAAATGCTGAAAATAGTACTAGTCATAAATACTGGTAGTAAAAATGACGGCTCAAGGGACTAGAAAGGCGGCTCAGCATGTACTGCTCTTCCAGAGGACCTGAGTTTGATTCCCAGCACCCACATCGGATAGCTCACAGTTTCCAGATCCAGGGGGATGCTCGGATGCCCTGAGGCGTGCGCGCACACACACACACACGCACACGCACACACACGCTGATTTAAAAATAAAAAAATAATCTCACACTTGGGAGGTTGAGGCAGGAGATCAGGAGTTTAAGGCCAGCTTCAGCTACATTTAAAGATGATGACAACAGTTGGGGGGGCAAGTGGAGCCTAGCATCCAGCGGGTATCAGGGATCTACAGCTCAGAAGACCTCTGACTGTTGTAATTTAAGAAGCGGCTGGAGAGAGAAAGATGCGATGTGAACAGAGATTGGGTGGAAGGGCTTTTGTGGGGGGAAAAGTGAATGGGGAAACGGGGGCGGGGGGGAGGCCGGCCTATGGGGCAGGAATGGCAGAAGAGAAGAGAAGAGAGAAGCAGAGTTGGTGGGGGGAGAGAGAGGGAGAGGGAGAGGGAGAGGGAGGGAGGGAGGGAGAGAGAGAGAGAGAGAGAGAGAGAGAGAGAGAGAGAGAGAGAGAGAGAGAGAGAGAGGGAGGGAGGAGGTGGACAGGGCCCTTTTAGAAGGGAACACAGTGAATGTGCACAGGTGGTGCTCTCAGTGGCTGCAGCTGAGGGCGTGTCCTGCCAGAACCCCAAGGGCGGCCAGTACAGATGCCTGGACACTAACACTGACCGTGAGTGCCGTTCAACAGGAGGAGGCAAACTGTGTTTGCGTGGCTTTACATTATTTCTCTTAGCCCTGTGATGGGGTGCTAGCACCCCCTTATGCCAATGAGGAGGCCACGGCTAGAGACAGCCAGTAAGCATTGAAAGTTGCTGGGGTTCAGCCCCAGGCCTTCCGTGTGATGACGCTCTGTCTTCGAGATTCCCAGGATGCTGGCAGAGGGCCCTTAGCTGTCATCTGTCGCCTCCTTACTTTCTGTGTTCAGTGTGGGCGTCTTATATTTCCCGTCACGGTGCTGTGCTCTGCCGTTAATTACATCCCTTCTTCTTACTTCATTTATCTGCAGGCAAGGCCCTGGCTACCCAGAGTCTTGCTAAGTTCTAGGCTGTCCTCAGAGTTGATTACCGCTCCTGCCTCCGCGGCGCTGGGATTACAGCTGAGCATCACTATGTCCAGGCTGCCTGACCCCCCCCCACGGTTTAGGATCACGGTGTCCCAGATGCCTCCCCCACATCCCCTGCTTTAGCTGTGTGGTTGGACAGCATTTGCAAACTGACCTTTGATTTCTTTCTCATCTCTGCCCCTGTGACCGTGTCCACCTGTGATCAGAATACTGTCCTCCCAAGAAAACTGGGTCATGGCACTTGACCACAGTCCTGACGGCCTCCTGTGGTCTCCAGTTTCCTGGTATCCTGTAGGATATGGGATCCCCAGTGTCGTTAGCTGGACACCTTCACAGACCTCATCCCGTGAAGGCTGTTAGCTGGTTAAAGGCGTGGCTGCCCTCGGGGTGCCCCTCTGCCACCAATCTAGGGCACCTTAGGTGTCCCTTTGCCTGTCTGGGGACAGCTGGTGTGGGCAGTGGACGTTGGAAGGGCTGAAAGGAAGCTGAGTGTCTTACAGCGGGTCTTTTCGGGGCAGAGAAGCAGAGAGGAGCGTCTGTCGCGGGTGGGCTGACAGGCGCAGCCGAGAGGGGGCGTCTCACGAGCCCCGCTTGCCCGCAGGAGCTGGAGAAGCAGTACTCGCCCAGCCGTTGGGTCATCAGGATGAAAGCGGAGGAAGTTGTCAGCACCTTCGTACGGGCAGGAAGCCAAGGTACTGTGGGACCTCTCTGGATACCATGGCCAACCCGTGGGGGCTGCACCCCGAGGGGCACTTCCCTTACTCCAGCCTCCTCTGCTGCCGCGGCAGGAGGTGGGGCTATAGCTGGAGACAGAAGAGTCTTGGATGAAACCAAGCTCTAGTGAGACACAGCCTCTCCTCCCTCCTGGTTGGCAAGGGCTTCCAGGCTCTAAAGTAGTGAGTGGTTCTCGACTCGTGGGGTATGGACCCTTTGGGGGGGTCAAACGACCCTTTCACAGGGGCTGCCTAAGACCATCGAAAGAATCACATATTTACATTACAGTTCATAATAGACAGTAGCAAAATTATAGTTATGAAGTTACATTGAAGATAATTGTATGGCTGGGGGTCACCACAACATGAGGAACTGTATTAAAGGAGTCATAGCGTAGCCCGGTGTTGGTGGCGCATGCCTTTAATCCGAGCACTCGGGAGGCAGAGGCAGGCGGATTTCTGTGAGTTCGAGGCCAACCTGGTCTACAGAACGAGCTCCAGGACAGCCTCCAAAACAATACAGAGAAACCCTGCCTCGAAAAAAAAACGGGGGGGGGGTCACAGTGTTGGGAAAGTTGAGAACCCCTGCTCTAAAAGAGCATGTTATGGTTGGCACAGAAATGTGAGCTGGAAAAAAGGAAAGAAAGCAAGATATTTTTGCTATATTTTTTAAAGTTTTTTGGTTTTTTTTGTTCTTTGAGACAGGGTTTCTCTATGTAGCAGCCCTGGCTGTCCTGGAGCTCTCTGTAGAGCAGGCTGGCTTCAAACTCAGTGATCCTCCTGCCTCAGCCTTCCAAGTGCTGCGGTTAAAGGCTGCCCGACTGTCAACCAGCAGTTTTTAATTTGATTGTTTTATTTTATTTTGAGACAAGGTCTTCCTGTGTAGCCTAGGCTGGCCTCCGATTTACTACGTAACCCCAGGCTGGTCTTGAACTCATGGACCTCTTGCCTCCGCTCCTGGGTGCTGGGCTTCGGGTGCCAACCACTGTGCCTAGGTCATATCATTGTATGTGTAGAAGGGGGTGCTGGAGGAGGAGTGTGCTGGGCACGCAGGAGCCCTGGGTTCAATGCTCAGTGAGGCCTAAGCCTACACAGCGGTGCACGTCTGGGATCCTGGCGCAGGAGAAACAGAGGTTCAAGGCTATCCTCAGTTAACGTCGTGAATTCCAAGCCAGACTGGGATACTTGAAACCATAACTAGGAAGATCAGAAGGAAGGGAGGGAGGGAGGAGGGAGTGGGGGGGTGTCGGGAATTAAGTCTTGGTTTCCTTTAAAGCAATCAGAGTTTGGGGCTGTGTGTGTGAGGTGTTCCGCCAACCCCAGAGTGCCGTGCAGTGGCTCCGACCCTTGGTGAGGCATCCATGCTGAGTGGAAAGTTGCTTTAAGGAGGGAGTACAGTGTGGAGGCTGCCAGCTGTCCACTCGCAGAGGGCAAACAGGATAAACAGAATGCTGGCCTGCCGCCTGGCCTCAGCTGACTAACCGAAGCCCTGCAGTAGGGAGTTCCTTCAACAGAGATAGAGGGGGGGGGGATCAGGCTTTGGGGGTTCATCTGCCTTGCTCTTTGTCCCTTTAGTGCCAGCTAGAGCTGTTTCCTGGGTTGGGCTCCGAAGGGTCCTCACTATGGCCGTCTCAGTAAATATGTGGGATTGGAGTGAGCCCATTCGCCTGTCTTGTCTCCAGGGATAAAAAAGCCGGGGGGGGGGGGGGACACGACACGGGACATCACCAGCCAATGGCCAGAGTTCAGAGTAGTCAGCGCTTGCCCAGAAAGCCCTGTGGGTCAGCTCTCAAGAATGCTAGCAGGGCTGTCTTGGTTGGGCACTCAAGGCAGATCTCTATGAGTGCAAAGCCAGCGTGCTCTAGGTCAGGAGTTCAAGGCCAGCCGGGGCTACACAGTAAGCTGTGCCCTAGCAGGGCTTGGGCTTAACTTTCATCCCACCGTCTTCCTCCTTGTGATTCCCAGACAAGCACAGTTACCACCAAGCCAGCCCCGCAGCCTCCAGCAGTTTTTAAAAATATCTTTTAAAAAATATTACTTTTTTTTTTGGTTGTTTGAGACAGGGTTTCTCTGTGTAACAGCTCTGGTTGTCCTGGAACTCCCTTTGTAGACCAGGCTGGCCTCGAACTCACTGAGATCCACCTGGCTCTGCCTCCTGAGTGCTGAGGTTAAAGGCGTGCGGCACCAATGCCCGGCATAGTGTGCATTTATTGTGTGTGTGTGTGTGCGCGCGCGTGTGCACTCGTGTGGAGGTCAGAGGGCAACGTGCTGGAGTCTGTCTCCCGCCACGTGACATGAAGCACGCTGCCTCCACTGGCAGCTTTTGCCCGCTAAGACGTCTCACTGGCCCCACTTATCATGTTTAAGTGTGTTGCATTGGCTGGACGTGGTGGTGTTCACCTGTAATCCCATCCTCCATCAGTGGTAACAGGAGCACCAGGCATCCTCGGCTGCTGAGTGAGTTAGAGGCCAGTCTCAGAAACAGACAGACAAACCAGATTAAAACAAGCAGGCTAGTGCATTAAAATGTGGCCCTTAATTATTGGGTTGGTAGAAATCAAGTCTTGAGCCGGGTGTTGGTGGCGTACGCCTTTAATCCCAGCACTTGGGAGGCAGAGGCAGGCGGATCTCTGTGAGTTCGAGGCCAGCCTGGTCTACAGAGTGAGTTCCAGGACAGCATCCAAAGCAATGCAGAGAAACCTTCTCGAAAAACCAAAGAATAAATAAAGAAAGAAAGAAAAGAAAAGAAATCAAGTCTCTCTCTCTCCCTCTGTCTCCCTCCTTCTTCCACTCTCCTCCCCCTCTCTTTCCCTCCCTCTTCCTCTCCCTCTCACTCCCTCCCACCCTATCTTTCTCCCTCCCTTTCTCCCTCCCTTTTCCTCTCTCTGTCTCTATCTCTGTCTCTGTCTCTCCCCCTCCCAACCCTCCCTCCTTATAGTTGAGATACATACTACAGGCATGTCCCAATTCCCTGTGGATGAGGTCAAATTGTCCACCCGACTACTAACAGAGCCCGCTCCCCTCCGCTGAGTTTCTAGGCTGTCTTAAGGCTTCCTCGGAGCCGTCCGTGAGCTCAGGGTCTCCTCATTGTGATGAAACACGGAGATGGAAGAGTTACGTAAACCGACGGTGTTGGGGAAAACTGAGAAACATTCTCCAGCCACCTCAGAGAACCTCCTTGCAAGAGGAGAGGAGAGGGAAACCGGTCCAGCATGTCCTCCTTGAGACCAGAGTCTCACTGTCAGCCCGGTTGACCTTGAACTCACACTGTAGACCAGGCCGGCCTCAACCTCAGAGATCCGCTGCCTCTGCCTCCCGAGTGCTGGGATTAAAGGCATGCGACCATGCCCTGCTTCATAGCTATGTTTTGGAAAAGATTTAATTATGTGTGGGGCTCCATTCAGTGACGGTGGGAATTCCTTCTTGGAGCTCTGGTTTGCAGAGCTGAGCGGCCACGTCGGGGCTCAGGTGGGCTTCACACAAAGACTGCCTGTCCTCTGGCTGGACAGGGAGACACTGGGTAGATCACAGATTAGGTTTACCGGCAAGGCGCCCTAACATGGGGCTTGGTTCACTTCTTGCTCCTTGTGGCTCAAGGCATGCCTCCGAGGGCCAATCACCTTCATGGCGAGTAAGGTGGGGCTTTGTGATTGACAGTAGCTCCTCCCCTTGGCTGATTAGCCTTATCTTACAGCTAGGATTTTCCCAGAGATACATGGAAGAGAACAAAAGCTTGCGAAACATTAGCCCCAATTCTTCCTTTATTATTTCATTATTCCTATTTTATATTCTTGGATATCCTGGTATGCACCGTGTAGCCAGACCAACCTTGAACTCCCTGAAATTCCTCCGCCTCAGCCTCTCCAGTGCAAGGACTACAAAGGTGACTCAGCTTTAGTTCCCAGACACCTTAACCACCTGTAGAGCAAAACCCCTATCCCATAAGCTCGCCATCCTGGCTCCCCCAGCCCCCCCACACACCTCCCCACCGATTTCTGTCTCCACAGAGCGACCTACGCAGCAGAGTTTGCGTTGGGTAATAATGTCTTTGAGCTCCACCCACGTTTCAGCAGGGAACTATTTTGCATTCCTTTTTTGCGGCACAGTAATATCCCACCGTGCTCCACAGGTTGGTCCTCCCTCTGGCTCGTTTTCCGCCTTCGGCTCTTGGCACTGCCCCCATGAACATTCGCCGGGCTGGGTGTGTCCTACGAGTTTTACCCTGACCCTTCGTTGTTTGCTCGTCATGGGCCGGTGTAGTGCGGGGTGTGTGTGTGTGTGTGTGTGTGTGTGTGTGTGTGTGTGTGTGTGTGTGTGTGTGTGTGTGTGTGTGTGTTCTCAACCTCCCTGAAGCCACGCCTCGTGACACGGCTCCTCACGTTCGTTCGGTGGCACCGCCCATGAAAGTGTTTCCTTGTTACTTCCTAACTGTAAGTTCGCACTGTTGTGAACTGTAATGTAAATACCCTGTGTGTGGCACCCCCACCCCCAAGGGGTTACGACCCACGGGGCGAGAACCACGGCTATAGCAGCCGCAAGCCGCGTTGCCCGCTGGTCCATCCTGCCCGTCCTCCCCAAGGTTTCTAGTGGGTAGGCAGCGGCCTGGATCAGTCTTTCCATCCAGTTCCTTCTGCAAACCTTTCTGTGGTTACTGTTTTAAAGACTGATCTTAGTTTTTGAAATAAATGTTGTTGTTGTTGTTTTATGCGATGGGTGTCCTGCCTGCGTGCATGCCTGGTGCTTAGGGAGCCCAGAGAGGGGTGAGGGTCTCTGAAGCTGGAGTTCTGGGAGGTTGTGAGCCTCCTGGCATGGGCTCTGCACTGCTCTGCCCTGCACAGAGTGAGGAGGAGGATGCCCCTCTACCCTCTCCCTCCCTCCCATCTCAGAGCTCCGCCCTCTTTTTTTTTTTTTTTTTTTTTTTTTTTTTTGGTTTTTCGAGACAGGGTTTCTCTGTGGCTTTGGAGGCTGTCCTGGAACTAGCTCTTGTAGACCAGACTGGCCTCGAACTCACAGAGATCCACCTGCCTCTGTCTCCTGAGTGCTGGGATCAAAGGTGTGTGCCACCACTGCCCGGCTTGTTTTTTTTGGGGGGGGGGCTTGGATTTGACTGAAAACCCTCTGTGACCGGGCCTCAGTCCTCTTCCCTCCCCGAGCTTGTCAAGCATGGCCGTGAGCTCCCCCCATCCTCCAGCCTCCACCTTCCTGTGACTACAGGTGGCAACCCAGCCGCCGCTGGCGTTTTGACTGTTTGCTCCCAGCGTTTCTAACAAGGGCGTGGAGGTGGAGCCCTTGCCCACATGCTCAAATCCCAGGGCTCCATCCACTGCACACAAAAGTACGGAGAGACGGTTGCAGCTCATGGCTGGGGCAGTTTCTTGTTCCCGGGTCAGTGGTGTCTTGAATGTCTGAGATTTCTGTGGGCTAACACCAGTCACCTACAGTGGCTTTGTTTCTTTAGCTCTGCAACGAAGAACAGAGTGTGGTTTTTAAGCAGGGCAGTGGTGGCGCACGCCTTTAATCCCAGCACTTGGGAGGCAGAAGCAGGCGGATCTCTGTGAGTTCGAGGCCAGCCTGGTCTACAGAGCGAGTCCCAGGACAGTCAGGGCTACACAGAGAAACTCTATCTCTAAAACACAAAACCAAAAAAGCATGGTTTTATCACCAAGTAAACTTAACCCAGTTCAGGCAGACTGTCAGGACTCTTAATGAAGTTTCTAGCTTTTGATCAAACCCCATGCTCATGGCCCGAGGCACACACAGCTTTTGAGCAGCCCCTGTGCGGACGGCCTGAGGCACACACAGCTCACTTGTTGGTAGCTCCTGTGGAGAGTACAGGCCAGGCCGTACTGCCTAATGACAATCACCACCCTTTGGCCCAGAAGTTACACTTCCGTATATTTTGGGTGTGAGCCTAGCCTTTAATGGCTGAGCTATCTCTCCAGTCCAGAAGTTACATTTCCTGCCTGTGCTAGTTCCCGGGGTTAACATGGAATGCACAAGGCTGTTCTCAGCTGGGTGGTTCCTGACAGCCCCGGCATGGAGCTGGCCCAGAGGCTTTCAGTGAAGCACTGTCTGTCTGCAGGATTGCAGCCCAAGGAGAGGGCCCTCACCCGGACCCAGCAGCTGGGCCTCCTCCCACCAGAACTGGGGGAGAATGAAGTTCTGCTGTGTAAGGCCTGGGTTAGGGTGTGTTGTTACGGCAGCCGGAGCTAACCCATACAGGGCCAAGGATGGGTCTCAGCCAAGGAGTGGCCGCATGGGATGTCCCTGTGACAGGTGCATGCCGGCAGCTGCCAGGGAGAAGCAGGAAGGATAGAGAGGGGTGTCACTGCCTTCTAGGGACAAGGCAGAGCCCACCAGGAAGTCTCAGTGCTGATGGAGAGGGACCCCGATTGGGGATAGGTGGTGGAGGGAGAGTCCTTAGCCACCGTCTCAGAGAGAGGAGCCGCTGGCAGAGCCTTGGGGACAAGGCCGTGTGGCTGGGTTGGAAGAGTGACTGACCCTCCATGTAGGATCTGCGTGTGACCTGTGTTTGCACTGAGGAAATACTTCATTTATTTTGTTGAGAGTCTTACCGTGTAGCCCAGGCTGGCCTGTAAGACCCTGCTGCCTCGGCCTCCCAAGTGTTGGCAGACCACAGCCCAACTTCTCATTTCTTTTCTGAATGTTATACTTGGGGTCCCAGTTGTGTGTGGTCTTTGTTGACTTCGGGGTCATGAAACTCTGTTTTGCTGCGGTCCTTTTGTGAGTGTGTGGGGCTGTATGTGTTGTACCAGGTGTGCATGTGTGTGTGTGTGTGTGTGTGTGTGCGTGTGTGTGTGTGCGTGTGTGTAGCAGAGGACAACTTCCAGGGGTTGTTTCTCTCTCAGGGATTGAACTCAAGATCTTCGGACCTGGTGGTGGCAAGCCCCTTTACCTGCAAAGCCATCTCGACAGCTCCCGTGGCGCTTTCCGAAAGTCTGTTTAGTGTTTAACCTGTCCGGAGTCGGTCTTTGTGACGTGAGGATAGGGTTAGTTTGGATATTTAGCTGACCCAGTGCTACCAACAAAACATTGTTTACTCAAAAAAAGGGGGTGTCGTGGGTCAGGTAGTCTTCCCTTCCTCATTGTGTAGAATCTGAGCTAAGGAGGCCGGAAGTGGCTAGTACCCCAGAGCTGATGGGCCTGCTCAGTGTGGAGCTGGGAACGGAACCCAGCTCCTCTGCCCAGCCACTTCTCCAGCCCCAGATTTTGTTATAAATAATCAGATAAATCTTTCCCCCTTTGCTTTGTTTTTCTTTTCTTTTCTTCTTCTTCTTCTTCTTCTTCTTCTTCTTCTTCTTCTTCTTCTTCTTCTTCTTCTTCTTCTTCTTTTTTTTTTTTTTTTAGTCAGGGTTTCTCTATGCAGCTTTGGAACCTATCCTGGAACTCGCTCTGTAGACCAGCCTGGCCTCGAACTCACAGAGATCCTCCTGCCTCTGCCTCCCGAGTGCTGGGGTTAAGGCATACAGTAACCTCTGTCAAAAGACACTGTCTTAGACTCTGATGTCCCTGTTCTTAATTGGGTGGTCTCAAGGTTCTTAATTTCAGGTTGGCAAGATGGTTCAGTAGGCAATGGCTGGCCATCTGAGCTCCTTGTACCATTTTTTTTTTTTTTGCCTCACAAAAAAATAAAGCAAGGAGCCAGCAGTTGGGAAGCAGAGGCAGGCAGATCTCTGTGAGTTCAAGGACAGCCAGGGACATCCTATCTCAAAAAAAAAAACAAATAATTAAATAAATATAAAAAAAATAAAGCAAGGGATAGGGAGCTGTCAGTTGATGAAATGGTTGCTGCTCAGACTCGGTGGCGCTCACATACCCATGGGCACACACACACACACACACACACATCTGTAGATTGTCCCCTGGTGATCTGAGTTCCATCCCCAGAACCCACGGTGAAAAAGATCATGAATCCCTACAAGTGGTCCCCTGACCTCCACAAGCCTACTGTGACACGTTCATGCCTTAACACATGCACACGGCACGCTGAATGGTGGATGGATAAAAACGTAATAAAAGCCGGGCGGTGGTGGCGCATGTCTTTAATCCCAGCACTCCCTTTAATTCCAGCACTCGGGAGGCAGAGGCAGGCGGATCTCTGTGAGTTTGAGACCAGCCTGGTCTACAAGAGCTAGTTCCAGGACAGCCTCCAAAACAACACAGAGAAACCCTGTCTTGAAAAACCAAAAAAAAAAAAAAAAGTAATAAAAACTGCAAGTAAAAACAGATGGCCTTTCCAAAGACTTAGAGAGGTGTAAGTAGTAAGAATGTAGCGAAGCAGTCGCTGTCCAGGTCCTCAGGGAGGGACCACAGGGCCATCCTCAGGACTGGTGTCCCAGCTGGGGAAGCCTCCCGCTGGGAGCTGCCTAGACCTCGCTGGGCCAGGCGTAACTTGTCCTGCATCCGCAGCCACCAGGAAGGCCCGGGCCACCCGGAGGAACCAGCTGGATGTCCCCTATGGAGATGGCGAAGGGGAGAAAATGGACATCTACTTTCCCGATGAGGATTCCAAGGGTGAGTCGAGCAGGGCTCCTGGTCCCCCTGCAGAGGCAGTGGGGCGTGAGACTCACCAGCGCCCCCTGCCTTTGTTTCAGCTTTCCCCCTCTTCCTGTTCTTTCACGGAGGATACTGGCAGAGCGGAAGGTGAGTGGGGGTGGGGGCGGCTGTGGGAGAGCAAGAGTCCAGCCTGCAAGTGTGACTCCTGCATCCGTGGGGCAGGAAGTCAGGAGCGCGGGCCCCGGGGCCTGCCTGGAGGTGCTAAACTGTGTATTGCTCGGCTGTGTCTCCATCCTCTGCTTTTGCCTTCACGTGGTCATTGACGGTTGTGTTCCGGAGCTCCGGATCCTCATAAAGACACTATCTTAATTAGGGCTGGACACGTGGCTCAGGAGTTAAAAGTGCTTACTCTTCTTCCAGAGGACCCGAGTTTGGCTCCAGAGGAATCCGACGCCCTCTTCTGTCCTCCACAGGAACTGCACTCATGTGCACAGACACGCACACATACATAAAAATAAGTAATAAGTCTTTTTTGGAGGGGAGGGTTGTGACAGGGTTTCTCTGTGTATACCTGAGTGTCCTGGAACTCACTCTGAAGACCAGGGTAGCCTCAAACTCAGAGATCCTCCTGCCTCAGCCTCTCAAGTGCTAGGATTAAAGGTGTGCTCCATCACTGGCCATAAATCTCTTTTTTTTTTAAAAAGGCATTGTCTTAGGTATCGATGTCCCTATTCCTAGATTGCCAATTTCAAGTTGGCAAGAAGGCTCAGTGGGTAAGGGTGCTGGCCATGCAAGCCTGGTGACCTGAGTTCAATCCCTGGAACCCACATAAAGGTGGGTTGGCCTTCTGACTTCCACATGTGCTGTGACACGTGCACCACCCAACACGTACATCATGAATATGCACATGTAGTGATAAAATACTTGGATTTTTATTTGTGTATGAGTGGTTGTGTGCCTACAGTACCCAAGGAGGCCAGAAGAGGGCGGCAGATCTCCTGGAGCTGGAGTTACAGATGGTTGTAAGTGGCCACGTGCTTGAACTGAATGCAGATCTCCTGGAAGAGCAGCCAGTGCTCTTCACCGCTAAGCCATCTCCCCAGCCCGACTCCTGGAAGTTGTTTCTTGTAGACTAAGTTGGTCTCAAACTCACAGAGATCCACCTGCCTCTGCCTCCCGAGTGCTGGGATTAAAGGCGTGCCCCACCACCGCCTGGCTCTTTGGGTTTTTTGGAGACTGCGTCTCCTGTAACTGAGGTTGGCCTCCGACTCACTAAGTGGCTGAAGGTGACGCTGGACTCCTGATCCTCCTGCCTCCCCTTCCCAAGTGTGGCTTTACAAGCTCCTTGACGTTATTATTATTGTTAGTATTTATTATTATTATTCATGTATGAATGTTTTGCCTGCGTGTATGTATGCACACCACATGCGTGCCTAGTACACACAGGGCTAGAAGCGGAACTGGGGTCACACACATGTGAGCGCCTGCACGTGGGAACTAGGGATCAAACCTTTGTCCCGGAGGAGCAGCCAGTACTCCTAACCCGTGAACCGGCTCTCCGGCCCCCTCCTTGTCTTTCCACAGTAAAGATGACTCGGCCTTCATGGTGACCCCGCTGACAGCACAGGGTGTGGTCGTGGTGATAGTGGCTTACGACATCGCACCCAAAGGTAGCCTCTGGAGATTTGGGGGCCAGAGCTTTGTGAGGGTGGAGCCCCTGCCGGATCCTGACCCAGCTTTTCCTCTGCTCAGGCGCACTGGACCGGATGGTGGACCAGGTGACCCGCAGCGTTGTGTTTCTACAGAGGCGGTATCCAAGCAACGAGTAGGTTCCGCTGCTGATGCCCTTGGTGGATGGAGGGCCATGTGTCTGTGGAGCCGGATGCGGACTGGGACTCCTGATGCTGTAGGGGAGTGGATGTAACCTAGCTCTGTCTGACCCAGGGGAATCTACCTCTGTGGACACTCTGCGGGAGCTCACCTGGCTGCCATGGTGCTCCTTGCTAGTTGGACCAAGCATGGCGTCACGCCCAACCTCCAAGGTTTCTTATTGCTTGTCTAAACAGGACCTCAGGTAGCCCAGGCTGGTGTCCAATCCTCAAGGTTTCTGTGGGTCTGGGGCCTGGCCAGGCTGCTCTTCCTCTCTCTGGAGGGTGGAGGGTGGAGCAGCTGGATGAGAGGCTGGTCCAGGCTAGGGTGCTGACCTGGAGGGTGGGCGGGTCCATCCTGCTGGGCCTAGTCCCTGGCCTGACCTCCTCACCTTCACAGGCTTTCTCCTGGTGAGTGGGATCTATGACCTGGAGCCCCTCATTTATACCTCCCAGAATGCCCCTCTGCACATGGCCCTGTGAGTTGTCTGCCCTCTCCCTGTCTCCAGCCCCCGCCTGAGGCCTCCCCTCCCCTCTGCCCTGACTCCTCCATTCTCCCTCCCCCAGGGAAGACGCTCAGAGAAACAGCCCACAGCGCCGCTTGGAGGTGGCTCCACCGACGCCCGTGGGTCCAGCCTGTCCTGTGGTGGTGGTTGTGGGTCAGCACGACTCTCCAGAATTCCACCGGCAGTCCAGGGAGTTCTATGAGGTACTGCCAGTGGCTAGCTTGTGGCACCTGGTTGGTCATGTGATCTCGTCTTCCTTGTTATTCTGAGCGGGGAGCGGGACTCCGTGGTAGGCACATGAAATACCAGTTACTCCGGAGTGAGGCAAGAGGTGAGCTCAAGAGCAGACTAAGTAACTTGGTAAGACCCCATTTCAAAATTTAAAAGGAAAGGAAATACGTTTCTTGGTGGTAACATACTTGCTAAACACAAGCAAGGCCCTGGTTTATGATTCCCAGGACTGCAATAGATGGACATAGTTTGTCTAACTGGACTCCAAGACAGTCATCCATCCATCCATCCATCCATCCATCCATCCATCCATCCATCCAACAAATGCATTCAAAATGAGCCTGCCATACACCGGACCAAGAGCCCCCCTCCCCGTCCTCCCCCAGCCACACTCTTACGACCCCCTCCCCCCATTCTTGTACAGACGCTGCACCGAGTAGGACTGAAGGCCTCTTTGCAGGAACTGCCTGACGTGGATCACTTTGACATCGTAGAGAATCTGACCCGAGAGGATCACGCACTCACCCAGGTGAGCTCCAGGACAGACAGGGCTTTTACACAGAGAAAATTTGCCCCCCAAAACAAACAAAAGGCAAAAAGTAAACAGAAGATTGTTGCCACAATTCTGACAGGTTATGATTTTTTTCTCTTTTCCCCCTTTGGCAGTAGGGAACAGGACTGTCCAGCTTGGCTTTATTTTGTGGTGCTGGGAATTGAACCTGTTTATGTGCACACACATGTGTGTTGCTGTATATACATGTGTGCGTGCAGGTCAGATGTTGACATGATGTATCTTCCTCAGTCATTCTCCTTATTTTTTGAGACAGGGCTTCTCACTGAACCCGGAGCTCATCAGTTTTTCTGAGCTTGTTGACCAGTGAGTGTCAGGGATTGGCAGTCTCTGCGTCTCCACCCAGCACTGGACCACACCGGGTCACATGTGTGCGCTGCATCGGCCTCTTGTGCGGGTGCTGGGACTCTGAATTCAGCCTGTCATGTGTTTCACCAGCTGAGCCGCCTCTTGGTCCCTACTTTTACATTTTGAAACAGATCTTTCTAAATAGCCTAGATAGACTTGTTTTCTTTTTTCTTTTTCTTTCTTTCTTTTTTTTTTTTTTTTCGAGACAGGGTTTCTCTGTGGCTTTGGAGGCTGTCCTGGAACTCGCTCTGTAGACCAGGCTGGCCTCGAACTCACAGAGATCCGCCTGCCTCTGCCTCCCGAGTGCTGGGATTAAAGGTGTGCGCCACCAACGCCCGGCTAGCTTTGACCTTTTTAATTTGCTTATTTGTTGTTTTGTCTATTTATTTGAGACAGGGTCTCACTATGTAGCCTAGCTGGCCTGGAACTCAGAGATCCACCTGCCTGCCTCCCACGTGTTGGGATGAAAGGTGTGTGTGCACCACCACGCCCGGCACCCACAGATGCTTTTCAGTCAGGTAGCCATCCAGCCTGGGCTCTCTCGTGGTCTCTTCTCTTTTTTAATAATTTTATTTATGTGCATTAGTGTCAGATCCTGGAACTGGAGTTACAGTTTTGAGCCACCATGTGGGTGTTGGGAATTGAACCCGGGTCCTCTGGAAGAGCAGCCAGTGCTCATAACCGCTGAGCCATCTCTCAGCCCTGCCCTCCCCCATCTTCTCTTCTTACTGCAGATTATTTTGAAAACAATCTTCCCAACGCTCTAAGGACAGCCGTCTCCAGCCTGTGTGTACCCCAGAAAACCTCCAGAAGAGGTGACTGCCACCTAACACTGTCCCTGCTGTGGACACACCCTCCCTGTCATTCTCCTCCCTGCCCAGATGGAGCTCCAGGGAAAGCCTACAGATTGGCGCTGTGACGTGCACCCAGCTACCACCTGGCCAAGTCTGTCTCCCCTCCTGCTGACAGGGCGTGACAGTCAGCTTCTGGCTTGTGCTCTATGTGTTTTGCAGTATCAGTGAGGACTGACTGGGGCTGGGACTGTTACTCAGCCCCTGTCTCCCTCTACAAAAGAGGGCGGGGACCGGAGAAGGAATGAAGGTGTAAGAGATCAACCAGCCAGTGATCGAGTGTAACTCAGTGGCAGAATGATTGACCAGCACGCATAGGATTCTGGGTTCAATCCCTGGTATTGACAAGGACAAAATAAAGGGGAAAAAAAAAAGACAGAGAGACGATCGAGCCCAGTGTGGTGGTGTACACCTGAATCCCAGCACGGAAGCAGGAGGATTGCTTGTGAGTTCAAAGCCAGCCTGAGCTACAAGACCCAGTCTCAAAGAAAAGGGCTGGTGAGATGGCCCAGCGGGTCAGAGCACTGTCACCATGTCTGACAGTCTGTGTTTGGTCCTGGGGGCCCATGGAAAGGAACAACCAACCGCCCCAAGTTACCCTTTGACTGTCATGTGTGTGTGTATGTGTGCACACACACTTACACACATACATGATGATGATGGCAATAAAAGCCCATGCTTGTGCCTGCTGTACAAACGGATACAAGGACTTATTTACTTAGAACTGCAGCCTGTCACGGAGACCAACAGCACAAAGGACCCTTGTGTGTGTGACAGGCTCTGCCAGACCTAACTGCTGCAGCACGCTCCCCGCCCCCACCGTGGCCACTGGGCCTTCCAAAGCCCAAACTGGGCATGGTGGGGCATGCCAGGAGCCGTAGGGGCAGGGGGACCTTTGACCCAGGAGGGCTCTTTAGCACACGTCTATACTCTGGTTCTGTCCGTCCAGTTTGCTTGTCTGCTGCTGTGATAAGCGCCGGAAGCAACTTGGGGAGGAGAGGGTCTGTTTCCTCTTACAGCTCACAGCCTAGCATCGCAGGAAGCCAAGGCAGGCACTTGAAGCAGAAGTGAGCAGAGGGGGCTTACTGTCCTGCTCCCAGACTCACGTTCAGCTGCCTTCCTGTAGAGTCCGATGCTCCTAGGAATGACACTGCCCACGAATGACACCACACCAAGTGAGAGTGGTCTGGACCCTCTCACATGAATTAGCAGTTAAGACAGAATCCCAGATTCTGATGGATGCAATTCCTCAACTGAGTTTCTCTGCGCAGGTGTGTCTAGGTTTGCGTCAAGCTGACAGCTGGTGCTAACTATGGCATCCTGCATCCTGACCGTGAGAAGAAACACTAAACCCACACTTCCATGGTATCCCCCCTTTTCATCCTTTTCTGCCAAACCAGAGGCTCATTAGAGTGAGGCATCTGCATGGTCTCCCTTGTGTGAGCCAGTCCCCTCTCTGGGCAGACAAGCTAGGCCTCGGTTGCCTTCTATCACCCATTGGGGACCACGCCACCAGCTGCCTCCCTCTGGTCTGTCTGTCCTTGTTCAGGCATCATGGTGTCACATGACTTTTCCCGAGGTGATATGAACAGATTATCTCCTCACCCCAGAAAGGGCACCAACAACAGAGCAAAATGATTTCACCAAGACCCACGGCGGGGTGAGTCTGTTGGGTTCACTGAAGCATAGTTGACTCTCAGGCAGCCGTGTCCCTGAAGCCTTGCAGCATGGGTGGTAACTCTCTGAACCTCATTCCTGGGGCTACTGCATGTGATTAGGCCCAGTCTCAGTTTCTTTACTGCTTCTATAAGCTTGGGGCTAGGCCTTGTAGTTCCTGTGTGGTTCTTTTGGGGTTCACGAATCTTTCTGCACTCCCATACACATCTTAAAGCCAAACATGGTAGTGCGTGCCTGTAATCCCGCCACCGGGGAGACTGAGGCAGGATGAGCACTGTCAGTCTGAAGCCAGTGAACCGCCCAGCATGGGTGCTGGGATGGAACTCATCCCTTGGAAGAGCAGGAAGCGCTCTTAGCTGTTGAGTCATCTCTCCAGCCACCGGGCCTGGCTTTCTGAGCAGCTTTACGGCAGGCTGGGCTAAGCCAGGATGCTGGGGAGGTCAGATCTCTTAAATGCATCTTTGGCTTGGGATACTTTCAGTTCACAGGGGGTTTGTTGGACCAGAGCCCCATCCTAAGTCACTGAGCACCCGAACATCTGAGTGACACCTACCACGAGGCCACTGGAGGATCTACATGTGCCACATAGAAAATCAAGATATGCCAGGGGGTGATGGCGCACGCTTTTAATCCCAGCCCTTGGGAGGAAGAGGCAGGTGGGTTCCTGTGAGTTTGATGCCAGCCTGGACTACAGAGAGAGCCCCAGGACAGCCAGGCTACACAACAAGAAAAAAAAAAATCAAGATGCATTCTTAGTGATGGAAAGTGAGATGCCCAACAGTCTCGGAGTGTCACACACAAGGCCACAATGCCCATGGGCTTCTGCTTTATTTATTTGTGGCTTTGAGACAGTTTCACTCTGTAGCCCTGGCTGGCCTGAGACTCAGGTGGACCAGCTTGATTCTGTCTTCCTGGAACTAAAGGAGTGTCCTGCTCCATGCGTTTCTGTATGGACACAGAGCAATGAATAGCAAGGGAGAAGTCTAGAAAGAGCCCCGTGGAAGGTTTCTGTGCTCTGTGGAGGGAGGCCAGGAAGACACGGAGGGGCGTTTGCTGCGTCTGGGTCCTCTGATTTTACAGTAGGCGCTGAAAGGAGGGCTGAGGACTTCAGTGGAGTCTGAATTAGGAAAATTAAAATTCTCAGAAACCTCTTTGGATGCTGGGAGGCCGGAATGTCATGGTTGTGACCAGAATCCACTCTGGAGTTCCAAAGGAAGGTGACTCACAAGCCGCAGGCCCTCCCTGAAGGTTTGTAACACATTCCTGGATATTGCTCACCTGGGCTGTACCCTAAGACGGGCAAGAGAAGCGGTAAATGAATACATAAACATTTATATATGAAAAGCTGTATGTGAAAACACAAGTATAAAGAAAAGGCTGGGAACATATTTGCCAGTAATCCCCACAGACAGGCAGAGGCGGGAAGAGTGTAGTAAGCTCAACATAGTGAGCTTAGGCCATTCAGACTCCCTAGCAAAACTCAAAAACCCATAAGGGGCTGGGCAAGATACTCAGCAGGTAAAAGCTCTCGCTGAGCAAGCCTGACCATTTGAACACTGGATCCCGAGGTGGAAGGAGAGGACCAACTCTCAAAAATTGTCCTCTGAGCCGGGAGTTGGTGTCGCACGCCTTTAGTCCCAGCACTCGGGAGGCAGAGGCAGGCAGTTCTCTGGATTTGAGGTCAGCCTGGTCTACAGAGCGAGTTCCAGGGCAGCCTCCAAAACAATACAGAGAAAACCTGTCTCGAAAAACCAAACCAAACAAGCAGTCCTCTGTCTTCCACAGGGTGCCCCGGGCCTTCATGTGCATTTGGGGATGTTGAGGTTTTTTGGTGTTGTTTGAAAGCTTTGGATTTTTAGGGGTGAGGCCCTACTGAATTGCTTTCTTGACTCTGCCTGGGAAGCCAGGGCCTGCCCTGGGGTCTCTGGTTGCCTAGCACTCAGTAGCTGCTCATAAATTAACTCCAGGATCTGATTTCACCTGGACTCGGGAAACTTCCAGAGTCTCCACTTCCCTGTGAAACAACCTGGCTAGAGCAGGCATAGATAGGCAAGTCAACAGACAGCCGTGGAGTCAGGTCCCATTCCATGAGTGACTTTGACCAAGCCGGGGGAGCTTGAAGCTGGTTACTGAGTAATCAGGGTGGGGTGGGGATGCCTAATCAGACCTTGACATCACAAACCTTTGCACAGGCCTTTCACTGACACACGCTCCAGAGAGGTCAAGACTTCAACAGCAAACAAAGAATCCAAATAAGCTGGGAGGTGGTGGCGCGCCTTTAACCCCAGCCCTCACATTCGGGAGGCAGAAGCAGGCAGATCTCTGAGTTTGAGGCCAGCCTGGTCTACACAGTAAGTTCCAGGACAGCCAGGGCTGCACAGAGAAACCCTGTCTTGAAAAAAACAAAACCAAACTAAAATCTGTCTTGGGATAGGGCTGGCGCCATGGCTCAGTGGTGGAGAGCACTGGCTGCTCTTGCAGAGGCGTTGGCTCAGTTCCCAGCACCCACGTGACAGCTCACAACTGTTTAATAACTCTTGTTCCAGGGGGAACCGGCGCCCTCCTCTGGCCCCTGTGGGCACTGCATATATACATGTAGGCAAAGCACCTATACGCATAAAAACAGATCTAAAAAGGAAGAAGGGTGAAGGTCCCGCAGGCCTGGCTAGCAAGAGTTGCTTAACTGTGGGAAAGCAGAGGAAGCCAGCGGTGGTGGCGCATGATCCCAGCACTCGGGAGGCAGAGGCAGGCGGATGGATCTCTGAGTTCGATGCCAGCCTGGTCTACAGATAGAGTTCCAGGACAGCCTCCAAAACTATACAAAGAAACCCTGTCTGAAAAAAAAAACAAGCCTTGGGACAGCATATAGATTAATAGAAATGGGCTGATTTAAGTTGTAAACACTAGTTAGTAACAAGCCGAGCTATCGGCTGAGCATTTATAATTAATAATAAGTCTCTGAGTGTCTTATTTGGTAAACAGCTGGTGAACAGAGCTGCCCAAGGTCCAGATGAAAAACTCCGTCTAAAGGCAAATGCTTTGCTAAATATAAAATTCAAGAAATTCAGTCAACCGCTGGCTATTGGTGTTGCACGCCTTTAATCCCAGCACTCGGGAAGCAGAGGCAGGTGGATAGCTGAGTTCAAGAACAGCCTGGCCTACAGAGTGAGTTCCAGGACAGCCAGAGCTATACAGAGAGACCCTGTCTCGTAAAAACCAAAAACCAAAAAAAAAAAAAAAAAAAAAAAAGAGCACTCACTGCTTTTCCAGAGAACCCTGGTTGAGATCCTAGCACACTCTGGACTCACAACCATTGTAACCTGTTTCAGGAGTCTCAATACTCCTGGCCCCCACAGGCGTCAGGTACACATGTACATGCACGCAGGTGAAGTACTCACACACGTGTATCTTGTAACAAAAGAAAAAAACACAGGAGCTGGCCAGCCACCTTCTTTCTAATTTACTTTGTAAACCACATCTTTTTCATGCCTAGCTACAGGATGTCCTCTTGTTGGCAACACATGTGGAGGTCAGAGCACAACTTTCTTGCTGCAGACTGCTGTTTGTTTACTTACTTTGTGAGAGCCTCGCTATGTAGCTCTGGAGTTCAGTACGCAGACCAGGCTGGCCTCACCAACATGACCCCTTCCCGCCTTCATGACTTATTATTATTATTATTAAGGTTTATTGATTTGCTATGGACACAGTATTCTGCCTGCATGTCTGCCTGCAGCCCAGAAGGGGGCACCAGATCTCATTACGGATTGTTGTGAGCCACCACTAAGTTGCTGGGAGTTGAACTCAGGACCCCTGGAAGAGCAGCCGGTGCTCTTAACCTCTGAGCCATGTTAACATTTTAACCCATTTCTATTCATCTGTGTGACGCATGGCTTTTGCCTCTCCTCCTGTATGTCTTGCTCCCTCTGCTGGAGTGAAGGAAGAGAGTCAGGACCAAAGATCCAGCACTTAGGAGTCTGAAAACAAAGAACCTATCTGTCTTAGTCAGGGCTGTTATTACTATGATGAAACTTCATTGTCTGTCCCTGAAGGAAGTCAGGACAGGAACTCAAACAGGGCAGGAACCTGGAGGCAGGAGCTGATGCAGAGGCAAGGGAGGGTGCTGCTTACTGGCTTGCTTCCCCTAGCTTGCTTATCCTGCTTTCTTACAGAATTCAGCATCACCAGGTCAGGGATGGTCCATGCCCACAATGTAAGCATTTTGACGGATTGGATGGGATGGACAGGGATGGATTATGGCATTAGGGAGCCAAAGAATACTGAATGTTACAGCTCAGATGGAAAGGTATTCTGGCAATCAGGAGCCAAGGACTACCACATGTTGCAGTAAGCATAGCAGCTCACAATCTTGCTTCAGGGAAAAGCTTCCGTAGTGTATCAGCTCTGCTCAGGCAGGAGAAGGTTTCCAGGCAAAGTTGTTATAGGTCAGCTCTGCTCTTGGGAGAGTGGAGAGCCACTCTGCTCCCCTCAAAAGTGTTACAGCCCTGCTCACTCTGCTCTGCCCAGGGTCGTCTCTGCTCTGCCGCAAAAGGAGGTCTTCACCCAAACCTCATTCCAGAGATTTATTGGGAGGGAAGACTTCAGGAGAGTGGCTGCCTCTGCCAAAGTGGCAGGGGACAGCCGGTAGCACAAACAGTCACAAGCTGAACAGACACAGGGTTTATATAGGGATTCTTGGGGGCCTGGTTGGGGATTGGACAGATTTCAATCCCTGAGCTTAGATTGGCTATATCGCCTGCTTGGGGATTGGTTGGTTTTCTGCCTGGGTTCAGGGTCAGATTTGGCTCTGGTTTCAGGGCCAAAGTGTGTTTCCTTCACTGGTCCTTCTTAGCCTTTTGGCTCTAGTTTTAGGACCAGGGTGCATTTCTTTCACTGACTCTGATTCCAGGGACAAAGTGTGTTCCTTTGGCACTGGTTTCAGGGTCAGGTTGCATTTCTTTAGTTCTGGTTACAGGGCCAAAGTGTGTTTCTTTGGCTCTGCTCAAGGTGTGTTTCTTGGCTGGACCCTTTTCCCTACACATAATGGGTTGGCTTCTCCCACATAAAATCACTAAGAAAATACCCTACAGACTTGCCTACAGTCCAATCTTATGGAGGCATTTTCTCAATCAGGGTTCTCTCCTCTTGGATGACTCTAGCCTGTGTCAAGTTAACATAAAATTAGCCAACTCAGTTACTGTGTTGGGGAATCAAAAGACAAAAATCCCTTCTGTAAGAGGAACCTTAGCTGTCCCGTGCAGCGTTGGCTCAAGACAACTTAAGCTTGGAGTCACAGCACAGACAACGGTTGCCATTCCAAATGTTTTCAAGTCTGATAGACAGCAGGGCCTGGAGCCTTTGAAAACGGATGAGGATGAGGACATGACCTCTTCAAGGTCCGGTTGAGGAGAAGGGTTTCGTTGTAGATATGAGAGACATCTGAAGAGTCCATCGAACCTGACCATGAACTGTGAGAAGGCACCAAGGGAGGAACTGAGGGCCTAGGACCAGGAGAGCACGGTTGAAAGCTCAGGACTGAGCGAGGTGTTGGTGGCGCACGCCTTTAGTCTCAGCACTCGGGAGGCAGAGGCAGGCGGATCTTTGTGTGTTCGATGCCAGCCTGATCTACAAGAGCTAGTTCCAGGACAGCTTCCAAAGCCACAGAGAAACTTTGTCTCGAAAAACAAACAAACAAAAAGAAATGTCAAGACTGTATAGAAAGAGAAGCGAGGGGAAGGGACGCGGAGGTCCCCGGGCTTGGGGGTAGGGGCGAGAAGCGCTGGCCGCAGGCCCAGGTGGCACTTGTCCTGGGTTTTTCTGGGACCTGACAAGCCCGGCTCCGGCTCCAGCTGCCTGGTGCACACATGGGGGCCCTGCTCTTCCTCACAATCGGCCAGGAGATCCGGCCCACACCCTGGACTCGCTGTGGTGGGGTATGGCCGCTTCCTCCTAGTCTGGGCCAAGCTGATGGTCTCAGAGATTTTTCACGCCCCCCCCTAGACACCCTGGAACCTGGAACTCACTGTCCTCCTGCCTCAGCCTCTGGGCGTCTGCCCGAAGGATGGCGGCTGCAGGGAGGAGGGTCTCCCGGTCTTCCACCGAGCATCCCCAACCAGCGTGTGAGCACTTCCACTCGACAGGACCCCGGGGTGGGGCTGGGGAACCCCATCTGGCTACCCCGGAGCCTGCGAGCGGCGAAGCCGGCTGCAGGAAGGAGAGAGAGCTCGCAGAGCAAACGGGCGCCGCAGCCGAGAGACCACGCTCCGCGTCTTCCGCGAGGCGGCTGACGGGCTCCGGCTACCGGCTTCCCCGACAGGACACGCAGGCGGCCCCGCCGCGGAGGACGCCACCGTACTGAGCTGGCCTCGCACGGAAGGCCACTAGCGCGCGGCTCAGGGGGCGGGGCCTTCCCGGCTCGCCTGGCGCCGCCCACGCTCAGAAGGCGGCTCAGGACTCAGGGCGGGGGGCGTGGTCACGCGCGGCGCTCTTATCCCCGCCCACTCCCAGAAGGCCGCGGGGCGGCGGTGGGGAGGCGGGGCGCTCCCGGCATGCGCTGCGGCAGGCCGCCCGCCCGCCCGCGGGTTTTGAATCGCGCTCGCCGGCGGCGGCTACGGCGGCAGCATCACCATGGGGGCTCCGTCTCTGCCCCCGAGCTGGCAGCTGTACCTCATGGACCACCGCATCTCCACCTTCAAGAACTGGCCCTTCCTGGAGGGCTGCGCCTGCACCCCGGAGCGGGTAAGCCCGACCCCCTCCTCCCTGGGCCCGGCGGTGTTTTCAGGGCTGGGCCCGGGGCCCGAAGCCCCACCCCCGCTTTGCTCTGTCCCCTCGACGAGGCCACCAACCCCACTGTTGTTAGACCCCGTTAGACGCGGCCCCGTCCCACTGTCCCCAGTTGGCTCTGCTCACGAGCTGCGCTGCTGTCGCTTTCAGATGGCGGAAGCCGGCTTCGTCCACTGCCCCACCGAGAACGAGCCAGACTTGGCCCAGTGTTTTTTCTGCTTCAAGGAGCTGGAAGGCTGGGAGCCAGATGACAACCCTATGTGAGTCCCCGCGGGCTGCTCTGGGTGGGTTTCCTGGCGCCCCGCTTCCGTTGGGAACTTTGTGGGTTGAACTGGAGTTGGGGGGCGGGAAACGATTCGAGTGTAGTAGGAGAGCGTATGGCCTTCCTAACTTGTTATGTGCTCCGGGCGGTCCTTGAACTTGTTATGTAGCTAAGACTAGTCTTGAATTCTCGGTATCCCTAGTGCTGCCAGCTTGCGTGGTGTTGTCTGGGGTATTTGTTTTGATTTTTGTTTGTTTGTTTAGGATGGGTTTCTCTGTGTAGCTCTAGTTGTCCTAGAAACTCCCTCTGTAGACCAGACTGACCTCAAACTCAGAGATTTGCCTTCCTCTGCCTCCCGAGTGCTTGGGACTATTGGCGAGGGCCACCACTGCCTGGCCTGCCTGAGATATTTTAAGATATCAGGGGTTTTTGTTTTGTTTGTTTGTTTTGGCTAATGTGCGCGTGCGTGCATGTCTTCGCGTCTGCCACGGGGCGTGGGTGTCGGATCCCTAGGAGCTGGAGTCAGTAGTCGGTTATGAGACCCTTGATGTGGGGGTGCTGGGAACTGAAGTCAGGCTCTACGGAAGAGCAGCAGGGACTCCACCGCTATCCCAGCTCCAGCCACAGGTTTTTTATATGTATTATTGTTACTTTATCTTTTATTCTGTGTGTCTTTGGGTGTGGGTGTCGTGGTGGGTGTGGATGTCGGGACGACTTGGGAGAGTCAGTTCTCTCCTTCTGTGGTGTGGGTCCCTGGGATTGAACTCAGGTGAGCAGGTTTGGTATCGAGCGTCCTCACCTGCTGAGCCTTTTCAAGGGATTTGACACGCAATTCCTCTGAGTTTGTTTTTATTCTCAAATTTTCTCTGTAGGGGTGTTTCCCCTGCGTGCATGTCTGTAGATGGTGGGAGCCGTCTTGTGGGTGCTGAAGGGGACTTCCACACAGAGGGGGCTTCCTCCCGGACCCTGGACTAGGCACAAGCCACACCCAAACATCTGTTTTCACAGAGAGACCCTTTATTAAGCGGGGAAGAAAAGTTAAAGTGGCTGCTTTCTGACTCGGGCAGAAAAAACAGCAGCAAATGACCTTGCAGGTGTCATTTCTGAGGAGAGAGAAGGGGGTGTAGTCTGTGTTAGAACGGGCCAGGACCTTGCAGGTATCATTTCTAAGAAGAGATAAGGGGGTGTAGTCTGTGTTAGAATGGGCCAGGACCTTGCAGGTGTCATTTCCAAGGAGAGAGAAGGGGGCGTAGTCTGTGTTAGAATGGGCTAGGATGTGGTTGGTGATACAGTGAGAAGGGAAAGGGGGCAGGGGTATTTGTTCCTGGATAGAGAGGACACAGACATGACCAAAGAGCATTTGTAAAGGTGAAGGGGGAACGCCCACGTTAGGATGAGGCATTTAATTTTAATTGGGCGTGGTAATCAGGTGAACCTAATTAACTTCAGTACTTTGATAGCTGGACCTTGGTGGTCAGCCTCAGGAGGAGGAAGTGGCCAAATGAGGGAATGGACCTTGGTGTCTAGCTTTAGGAATGTCATCTAGGGGTTTTTAGCAAGGCAGAGGGGTGGGGGAGAAGGTAAGGCCTGCCAGAGCCCAGGCTGGCTAGAGTCCCTTCAGGTGCTGTTAGCCACTGGGCCATTGCTCCAGCTCCCATTCTGAGTTTAAAGCATACAACCTTCCCTATCGATGGCTAACGGGCTCCAGAAAAGCAACCAGCCATTGGGGTGGGAAGACGGCAGAGAAGCTAGGCTGCGGCATGTCCTTGAGACACATTTTGGCCTTGACACCTTGCTCTTGATGGAGCGAGGGGTGTGCCGAGGGCAGCCATGGTGGTGACAGATGTGCTATTGGTGATGCCACATTGGTTTATTGGTTTTTCCAGGCAGGAGCATAAAAAGCACTCACCTAAGTGTGCCTTCCTGACTGTCAAGAAGCAGTTTGAAGAACTGACCCTCAGTGAATTTTTGAAACTGGACAAAGAAAGAGCCAAGAACAAAATTGTACGTATACCAAGAATAAGGACTGAGAATAAGCCAGTCCCCCTGGAAGCCCTGGAGGGTCTCCCTCAGGAAGTGCTCCTAACTCTGAGGGTTGAGGACACACAGGACTGACCTGGAGCATGGTCCTGGGGTTTGCAGTGGGAAGACCTGTCCCCCAGGAGAGAGGGTTCCTCACTGGGATCACCTTCTCACCTGAGTGGCGAGCACTGTGGGAGCCCTCCTGTGACGGCAGCCGTGTGGGTAGAGGTTTGCAAACGTAGTAGAGAAGCGTTAGCTGAGGGGGAGACAAGCCGGGGTCCAGCTGGACTGCGCTCTTGTCCATTCACACGGAGCTCATTGGGAAGGCAGGGGCATCTGGGGTCCACAGGGAGTCGGCTCCCGTGCAGACAAGAAGAGGCCAGAGCTCACAGTAAAGGCTGCCCCCCCATCTTTCATGAGTATCCACTCACAGTAAAGGCTGCCTCCCCGTCTTTCATGGGTTATCCACTGCAGCTGCTGGCTTGTCTGAAGTCCACTTAACCAGGTAGCCTGTATTCTTGGGTGCCACACCTTTAGGAGGAAGATTCTGGGAGGGGTTTACTGGCAACACCCTGAGCAGGAGCAGACGGCTGGCTGCCAGCTGGCCCTGGCAGAGGCTAGGACCTGCTGTGATGGTTATCAAGGTTCTCCTCGGTGACATTGGACACTGAGGATGGCAGTTTGTCCTCAGGAGGAGGGCACTAGGCTGGGACATGCTCACACACTGGGGTTGCTGTTCAGAGTCCCTGTTACATGCTGTTCTTTCTTTGCTATTGATTTTTTTTTTAAGAAGAATTGGGTTTAATAAAGATACTTAATACAAGTTTGGGCACAGAATCAAGAGAAAGGTGCTCAGAAGGAAAGACACGCCACCCAGTGTCCCTCACTTCAGAGCCGTCCCTCTAGACTCGCCCTTGTTTTGAGAGAAGTTCACCGTGGAGTCTGGCTGCACTGGAACTCACTGTTGTAGACCAGGCTCACGGATTCACAGATCCATTTGACTGTGTCTCCCGAGTGCTGGGCTTAAAGGCATGCACTGCCACTCATTTATTTACTTACTTATTCATTCATTCTTTATCCTTTATTGTGTGTGTATTAGACCAGGCTGGCCTCAGACTGGAGATCCACTCTATTCTGTCTCCCAAGTGTGGGATTGAGGGCGTGCACTGTCATTTATTTATACTTTACTGTATGTGCATGGGGTGTTTTGCTTATGGGGGTCAGAAGAGGGCATTGGATCCCCGAGAACTGGAGCTGCCTGTGGCTATGAAACACCGTGTGGTGCTGGGAGTCAAACCCAGGTCCTCTGGAAGAGCAGCCAGTGCTCTTAACAGCTGAGCCCTCTCCAGCCGCCTGGATGGGGTTTTTTGGGGGGTGGAGCTGGGGAGTGGTTTCGAGACAGGGTTTCTCTAGTTGTATTGTAGACCAGGCTGGTCTCAAACTCACAGAGATCCGACTGCCTCTGCCTCCCGAGTACTGGGATTAAAGACATGCGCCACCACTCCCCATCCCTGCTCTGCCTGGATGTTTTTAAGGCTGTAGCTCTGTAAGTCTGTGGAGTGCCCATCACAAGGAGACTGACATTTTCCAGGGGCTTTTTTCTTGTCAATTGTGTTTTGTCATTGGTGTTGGAACTGGAATTACAGACAGTTGTGAACTGCCATATGGGTGCTGAGAATTGAACCCGGGTCCTGGAAAGAGCAGTCAGTGCTCTTAACCACGAACCATCTCTCCAGCCCTTGTTTTGTTTTTTTTTTTAATTTAGTATTTTTTTAAATACTTGGCATAGGGCACAGTCCTAGGGTGCAGTCCCAACTAATTTGGTTGGCTGAGGGAGGGGGATTGTAAGTTAAAAGGTAGCATGAGTTCCTATTTAAAAAAAAAACAAAAAGTAAAAAACAAGAAAGAAGTTGTGGGTATTTACTTATTATGCAAAAGGCCCTAGGTTCAATTTCAAGCTCTACACAAATAGTAATTTTTCTTTTAATAATATTGTAGTTATTCTGTCACGCTGGTCATGAAATGAGGGCCTCACCCTTGCTAGGCAAGCCCCTCTAGGCCACACCCCAGCCCCAATGTGTCCTTTCATTATTCCAGGCAAAGGAGACTGCCAGCAAGCAGAAAGAATTTGAAGAAACTGCAAAGACCGTCCGCCACTCCATTGAGCAGCTGGTTGCCTTGAAGTGAGCCTTTGCTGGCGCGGCCTGGACCCGAGTGACATGCCACATTCAAGCCACGTGTCCTAGCTTTCTCAGCCTGGGCCTCTTAGGAGTGTCTTAAAGAAATAATGGTTGGTATTTTGAAACTGGATGTCAAATATTATTCTTTTTTTTTTGTTTTGTTTTGTTTTGTTTTTCGAGACAGGGTTTCTCTGTGGCTTTGAAGGCTGTCCTGGAACTAGCTCTTGTAGACCAGGTTGGTCTCGAACTCACAGAGATCCGCCTGCCTCTGCTTCCCAAGTGCTGGGATTAAAGGCATGCGCCACCAACGCCCGGCTGTCAAATATTATTCTTGTCTTCGCTTGGAAGTGGCTCAGCCTGTGCGCCTACCTCTCTTGATTTTGTGGCTTTGCTCTGTTGTAACCTGGACTGCGGCAGTGAGGAAAGGGTGGGTGAGGAGGGCAGTGTCTGTGACAGGACCTAAGGGTGGGGGTGCCTGGGCAAGGTGTTTCTGGTCTTCATGTTTCAGTACCGGTAGCCGATGTGTCCGTGCACTGCAGGTGTGGTTATGTGTTATGCTGGTGGTTCATTTGTTCTCTGATGTGGGTCTTCTACCGCAGGGTGATGGAATAAAATCACTTAAAAAGTGGATTGCAAGCTCTTTCTGTCTTGGGGGAAAGGTTTGTGTGTTTGGTGTTTTGAGATGGGGGTGAACTCAGTCCTGCTGCCCCTCCCTCCCAGGTGCCCGATGCTGACTTGTGGCACTGCACCCGGTGCTGTTCGTTTTACGCTATGAGGTCATAAATTGGGTGGCATTAAGTGTCAATCCCAGCATGAGCAGCAGAATTGAACAGTACTAAAAAGGGCACTGGGATTGCAGCATGACTCTCATGGGCAGGATTTCCTTTTCCTAATGAAACCTCTGCAAGGCAGGTGTGGTGGACATACTGTCGACTTGGCAGTCTAGAATCACCCAGGAGGTGGGCCTTTGGGGGCTATGATCACATTAGTTGAGGTGGGGTGCCAGGCTGTGTAAATGGAGAGCTGTTGTTCCGTTTCCTGACTGATCAGCTGCTTCCTGCCCTGCGTCCTGACTCCCCAGTGTGATGGACAGTGCCTTGAACTGTGAGCCACAGGAAACTCCTCCCTTTGAGTGCTTTTGTCAGAATATTTTATCACACATCAAGATAAACCCAGACGTCAGGTGGAAGTGGAGGCTGAAGGGTCAGGAGTTCAAGGTTACCCTAAGCTAGGTGTGTGGAGTTTGAGTTCAGCCTGGGGCATAGGACACCCTGCTGAGAGAAACCACGTGACCATTCTCCAAGCATGAGGGAGAGCGCACCGCACTGACTAACATGGTAGAGTTAAGGCAGACGGGTACAGAGTTCACAGCTGTGCGTGTTCCATGCAGGCCACGCCGATAAACTTCTTCTCAAGCGTCTTTGGCCAGAGTCCAGGTCCACTCTGTCCCTGCCTGGGTTCCCAGCCTCTCTGACCCCAGAGGATCAGCACACGTAGCCAGGAAGACTTTGAGAACCCAGGAGGGCATGAAGCAGTGGCAGAAATGGCAGCCCAGGTGGCCTGCAGAGGCCCCAGCCTGCAGCTGTACTGCAGGAAGGGCACTGCAGGAAGAGTACTGCAGCTGCACTGCAGGAAGGGCGCTGCAGGAAGGGCGCTGCAGGAAGAGCACTGCAGCTGCACTGCAGGAAGGGCGCTGCAGGAAGGGCGCTGCAGGAAGAGCACTGCAGCTGCACTGCAGGAAGAGCACTGCAGGAAGAGTACTGTAGCTGCACTGCAGGAAGGGCGCTGCAGGAAGGGCACTGCAGGAAGAGCACTGCAGGAAGAGTACTGTAGCTGCACTGCAGGAAGAGCACTGCAGGAAGAGCACTGCAGCTGCACTGCAGGAAGAGCGCTGCAGGAAGGGCGCTGCAGGAAGAGTGCTGCAGGAAGAGCGCTGCAGCTGCACTGCAGGAAGGGCGCTGCAGGAAGGGCACTGCAGGAAGAGCACTGCAGGAAGAGCACTGCAGCTGCACTGCAGGAAGAGCACTGCAGGAAGGGCACTGCAGGAAGAGCACTGCAGGAAGAGCACTGCAGGAAGAGCACTGCAGGAAGAGCACTGCAGCTGCACTGCAGGAAGAGCACTGCAGGAAGAGCACTGCAGCTGCACTGCAGGAAGGGCGCTGCAGGAAGGGTGCTGCAGGAAGAGCACTGCAGGAAGAGCACTGGCCAGCCAAACCAGCCATCTCAGGATGGTCTGCAGCAGCAGCCAGCAAGGCTCAGCCACTGTGTCCTCCGCGTCAGCGACGCAAGGCATCTGTGTTCACTTAGATGGCTGCTGGGAGGCCATTTTAGGAGCTGCTGTGCACATCTGGGACCTACTGTCTCCAGAACCACCTAACACATTCTGGTGGCCTCCCCGAGGGCTTGCGGTAGCTCTGCCGAGGACGACAAGGGAACCCCACAGAAATCAGAAAGAGGAGAGCAGAGCCCACGTGGGTGTGAGCTCAACAAGGCCGTGGGCAAGCACTGAGTGGACATGTGAGCCCAGGTGGGGCAGGCTCCAGACAGGGACAAGTCATCTGTGCAGAGGCCATCTTGGTGGGTGGCCAGCTGCACCCGAGTCTTGAACCACGCCAGGAGCCAGCACAGCTGCATGTTTCCTGCCCACTGGCTCAGTCCATGGGGCTGTCAGGGTTCAACAGGGAGGGAACAAACCAGGTCTCCGCCCCCAAGGGCTGTTTGCCCCTTAGTCACCAAAGTGGTGACGTTGGTTTGAATGCATTCTGAATCCTGGTACTGCACCTAGGATCCCATCTCCTGAAGTCAGCTTACAGTCACTACTTGCTTTCTGAACACTGAGAAGATAAAAGGCCAGCAAGAGGCCTGGGCATGAGTGCCCGAGCATCCCGGGGAGCAACAGGAAGGGGCACCCCTGGACATTGTCACCCAAGTCCTTGTCGGAAGCTACCAGGTGGACCAGCGCGGGCAGGTGCACAGGGCAGGAGGGAGGCGTGCGTTCCGCTCACTGCAAATGCAATCTGGTGGTAGGGTGTGGAGGACACGGTGCTGGAAACATTTCCCACAGCGAAGCCCCGGCTGGAGGCTCCCAGGGCAGCCGGCTAGACACGGATCCTTGCCTGTCACCCATGCTGTTGGCTCTGCTCTCCTCTAACACCTCCTCCGACTCCCCCGCTTTGTCTCTGATTTCTGTGGCCAGCTCAGCAAGTGGAGCCGCACGGACCTGCGGGTTGGGGGCCGCCTGCTATTCCAGTCACTGCCCCCTAGTCTCGGTCACATTTCCTAATGGGCCCAGTTCAGGGCCTCCTCAGTGTGTGTGAACAGAGGCTCGGCTGCAGACTTGTTTGTCCAAGCAAGATGAAAAGCGGCGTGTTTCTAGCCTATGCCTCCAACTCCAGGGAGCCCTTGCATCTGCTGGGCTTAGCCAGCTGCATCCTGCATGCTGGGTAGATGACTGGGCCCGTTGGACAGTAATTTGAGGCTCATCTGTGGGAGGATATTTGCCAAGCTCAGTAAAATGAGCTGTCGGTGTAACTGATGCCCAGCTGCTGGAGGGTAATTTAGCTGACAGTTCCAACTGCTTCCCCAAACTCAGGCTGGAAGCAATAGCCAGAGTTAGTCTGGAGCAGGAGGCTGGCTCATCAGCCAGATGGTTTCCACTAGAAACTGACTCCCGTTCCAGCTGCAAATGTGACCTAGTTAGAGAGGCTTGGATACAGCCTTGTTTCTGTTACTCATGACTGGACCGGCTTCCCCCCAGAAGCCCACCTGTCTTTGACATCTGTGATGATGATGGACCCTGCTGGTGTTGAAGAGTCCCTGGCAGTCAGAGGCAGGCACACAGCCTGCCTAATACGGCTTACACATTTGATGAGACACCATGTAATGAATACTGGGTCATTCTAAAGTGGCACCTCTAGAGACTGGGCTCAGTGTCTTTTGAGTCCAATTGGGGATGTATGCTGGCAGAGTTCATTAAAGCTACCCCTCGGGGACCAGCGCCTGCTGCCTAGAAGACAGTCAGTGGCCCGAGCTGCACAGAGCCCAGGGTTGGAAATGAGGTTCGTGTGGACTTCTCAGCAGGCTGGCTTCCACCCCTTCAGCTTGAGGGAATCAGTGCAGAGATGGCGTGGATGCCACTTGATGTCACTTTCCCCAGGGTAGCAGTGGCCTCCAGCATGGCTGTTGCCTACCCTGACAGATGCACTAGACCTGCTCGAGATGTAGCAGGACCATGAGCCTTTGCAAACCAGCTCAAAGGTGGGAGCTCAATGGGAGGGAGACAGGACCTGTAGGGAGAAAGGGCCAGCCAAAGAAACATACTTTGGCCCTGCAACCAAAACCAAAGAACACACTTCGTCCCTGGAGTCAGAGCCAGTGAAAGAAATACACCTTGGCCCTAAAACTAGAGCTAAAAGTCTAAAAAGGACCAGAGGAAAAAAACACACTTTAGCCCTGAAACCCCGAGCCAAATCTGACCCTGAACCTGAGCAGAAAACCAACAAATCCTTAAGCAGGAGATGTAGCCAATCTGAGCTCAAGGATTGAAATCTGACTAATCCCCACCCAGGAAATCTCCCTGGAAAAGCTCCACCCCTAAGAAGAAGGAAAAGCTGTCCTTTTCCACCCTGGTAGAGGCAGCCACTCTCCTGGGTTCTTCCCTCCCAAGAAATCTCTTGAATGAGGTTCGAGTGAGACCTTCCTTTGCCGGAATGGAGGGGAGGAGAGAAGTAACAGCTTCTCACGGAGCCAAGTTGAGAGAAGCAGAGCAGAGCTCTAACACTCTCGCAGGGGAAACCTCCCCTAGCAGAGCGGAGTCGTTACACTCCTGGACTGGAGTTGAAGTGTATCAGCTTTACCTGGGAAGCCTTCTCCTGCTGGAGCAGAGCTGCTACACCGGGGAAGCCTCTCCCTGGAGCAGGGCTGTGAGCTGCAACGCTACTGTGACTGTGGGAGTCCTTGGCTCCCGAGTGCCAGAATACCTGTCCATCCGAGCTGTAACACTCAGTAGTCTGTGGCTCAAGTGCCAGAATCCCTGTCTATCTGAGCCACAATGCTTACAAGACCAGCATGTCAATCCCCCGCTCTCTATAAAAGGAGCCTTTGACAGAAAGCAAGACTGATTCTTGCCACATTGTTACACCGTGGGATAACAGCTAGGTGACCTCAGGTTTGCATGACTTGCCCTTATCCCTCAGTTGTAATCAGAGAGTCTCCCATCTCCCTTTGCTCCTGCCTTGGGAAGGCTGCGGCTCTCTGAGTACCCATTGGGTTCCTAGTCTTTCCCAGTCAGTGAGACGCTGGCTGCCACCTGGCTCCAGAGCAGCGGTGTCTGCAGGACAGGGCCAGCTGCGGGGGCTGCCATGCAGCAGCTGCAGGCAGGGATGGCCTGGTGTACACACAGAAAGAATAGCTCACCAAATACTGGAAGAATTCTGCGCTCAGTCTGAATTCCACTTGAAATATTGTTTTAATAACTTTGCTAAGATTGCTTTTATCTCGGGACTATATTCCTATAAACCAAGATCTTAACAGAGAGAAATCTCGGACTTGGCTGACCTGAGGCTCGAAGCCTCTGTGTTCAAGAAAGACCACCTCTGGCCCCTGTCTTCAGGCTCTGTCCACCCCAGGGCAATGATTCAGAGGCCCTCTCAGTCTCCAGCGTGTAACCCAGACCACCCAGCTTCACTGCCTAGGTTCCTCCTGGCTGAGGCCTCTGTGTCACTCCTTTGACTCTCCTACCGTTAGCATAAAGACCCCTATCCTCAAGGGGTCCTTATGTGTGATCTGTGCGTGCCCTGTAGGTAGTGCCCCGTAGGTGTGTCCCTGTGAGTGTGTGCCCTGTGAGAGTGTGCCCTGTGAGAGTGTGCCCTGTGAGAGTGTGCCCTGTGAGTGTGCCCTGTGAGTGTGTGCCCTGTGAGGGTGTGCCCTGTGAGTGTGTCCTGTGAGTGTGTGCCCTGTGAGTGTGTGCCTTGTGTGTGTGCCCTATAAGTGTGTGTCCTGTGAGTGTGCCCTGTGAGTGTGTGCCCTGTGAGTGTGTGCCCTGTGAGTGTGTGCCCTGTGAGTGTGTCCTGTGAGTGTGTGCCCTGTGAGTGTGTGCTCTGTGAGTGTGTCCTGTGAGTGTGTGCCCTGTGAGGGTGTGCCCTGTGAGAGTGTGCCCTGTGAGAGTGTGCCCTGTGAGTGTGTGCTCTGTGAGTGTGTCCTGTGAGAGTGTGCCCTGTGAGTGTGTGCCCTGTGAGAGTGTGCCCTGTGAGTGTGTGCCCTGTGAGTGTGCCCTGTGAGAGTGTGCCCTGTGAGAGTGTGCCCTGTGAGAGTGTGTCCTGTGAGTGTGTGCCCTGTGAGGGTGTGCCCTGTGAGGGTGTGTCCTGTGAGTGTGTGCCTTGTGTGTGTGCCCTATAAGTGTGTGTCCTGTGAGTGTGTGCTGTGTAAGTAGTGCCCTGTGAGTGTGTCCTGTGAGTGTGTGCCCTGTGAGGGTGTGCCCTGTGAGTGTGTGCTCTGTGAGTGTGTGCCCTGTGAGTGTGTCCTGTGAGAGTGTGCCCTGTGAGTGTGTGCCCTGTGAGAGTGTGCCCTGTGAGTGTGTGCCCTGTGAGTGTGTGCCCTGTGAGTGTGTCCTGTGAGTGTGTGCCCTGTGAGTGTGTGCTCTGTGAGTGTGTCCTGTGAGTGTGTGCCCTGTGAGGGTGTGCCCTGTGAGAGTGTGCCCTGTGAGAGTGTGCCCTGTGAGAGTGTGCCCTGTGAGTGTGTGCTCTGTGAGTGTGTCCTGTGAGTGTGTGCCCTGTGAGAGTGTGCCCTGTGAGAGTGTGCTCTGTGAGTGTGTCCTGTGAGAGTGTGCTGTGTAAGTAGTGCCCTGTGAGTGTGTCCTGTGAGAGTGTGCCCTGTGAGTGTGTGCCCTGTGAGAGTGTGCCCTGTGAGTGTGTGCCCTGTGAGTGTGTGCCCTGTGAGGGTGTGCCCTGTGAGAGTGTGCCCTGTGAGTGTGTGCCCTGTGAGTGTGTGCTCTGTGAGTGTGTCCTGTGAGTGTGTGCCCTGTGAGGGTGTGCCCTGTGAGAGTGTGCCCTGTGAGTGTGTGCTCTGTGAGTGTGTCCTGTGAGAGTGTGCCCTGTGAGTGTGTGCCCTGTGAGGGTGTGCCCTGTGAGAGTGTGCCCTGTGAGTGTGTGCTCTGTGAGTGTGTCCTGTGAGAGTGTGCCCTGTGAGTGTGTACCCTGTGAGTGTGTGCCCTGTGAGAGTGTGCCCTGTGAGTGTGTGCCCTGTGAGTGTGTGCCCTGTGAGTGTGTGCCCTGTGAGTGTGTGCTCTGTGAGAGTGTGCCCTGTGAGTGTGTGCCCTGTGAGAGTGTGCCCTGTGAGTGTGTGCTCTGTGAGAGTGTCCTGTGAGTGTGTGCCCTGTGAGTGTGTGCCCTGTGAGAGTGTGCCCTGTGAGTGTGTGCCCTGTGAGTGTGTGCCCTGTGAGTGTGTGCCCTGTGAGAGTGTGCCCTGTGAGTGTGTGCCCTGTGAGTGTGTCCTGTGAGTGTGTGCCCTGTGAGTGTGTGCCCTGTGAGAGTGTGCCCTGTGAGTGTGTGCCCTGTGAGTGTGTGCCCTGTGAGTGTGTGCTCTGTGAGTGTGTCCTGTGAGTGTGTGCCCTGTGAGGGTGTGTCCTGTGAGTGTGTGCCCTGTGAGAGTGTGCCCTGTGAGTGTGTGCCCTGTGAGTGTGTGCTCTGTGAGTGTGTGCCCTGTGAGAGTGTGCCCTGTGAGTGTGTGCCCTGTGAGTGTGTGCTCTGTGAGTGTGTGCTCTGTGAGAGTGTGTCCTGTGAGAGTGTGCCCTGTGAGTGTGTGCCCTGTGAGTGTGTGCTCTGTGAGTGTGTGCTCTGTGAGAGTGTGTCCTGTGAGGGTGTGTCCTGTGAGTGTGCCCTGTGAGTGTGTGCCCTGTGAGTGTGTGCTCTGTGAGTGTGTCCTGTGAGAGTGTGCTCTGTGAGTGTGTGCCCTGTGAGTGTGTGCCCTGTGAGAGTGTGCCCTGTGAGTGTGTGCTCTGTGAGAGTGTGCCCTGTGAGGGTGTGCCCTGTGAGTGTGTGCCCTGTGAGTGTGTCCTGTGAGTGTGTGCCCTGTGAGAGTGTCCTGTGAGTGTGTGCCCTGTGAGTGTGTCCTGTGAGTGTGTCCTGTGAGTGTGTGCCCTGTGAGAGTGTGCCCTGTGAGTGTGTGCCCTGTGAGTGTGTCCTGTGAGAGTGTGCCCTGTGAGGGTGTGCTCTGTGAGAGTGTGCCCTGTGAGAGTGTGCTCTGTGAGTGTGTCCTGTGAGAGTGTGCCCTGTGAGTGTGTGCTCTGTGAGAGTGTGCCCTGTGAGGGTGTGCCCTGTGAGTGTGTGCCCTGTGAGGGTGTGCTCTGTGAGAGTGTGCCCTGTGAGGGTGTGCCCTGTGAGAGTGTGCCCTGTGAGGGTGTGCCCTGTGAGAGTGTGCCCTGTGAGAGTGTGCCCTGTGAGAGTGTGCCCTGTGAGTGTGTGCCCTGTGAGTGTGTGCCCTGTGAGTGTGTGCCCTGTAGGTGTGTCCCTGCGAGTGTGTGCCCTGTGAGGGTGTGCCCTGTGAGTATGTGCTCTGTGAGTGTGTCCTGTGAGTGTGTGCCCTGTGAGTGTGTGCCTTGTGTGTGTGCCCTATAAGTGTGTGTCCTGTGAGTGTGTGCTGTGTAAGTAGTGCCCTGTGAGTGTGTCCTGTGAGAGTGTGCCCTGTGAGTGTGTGCCCTGTGAGGGTGTGTCCTGTGAGGGTGTGTCCTGTGAGTGTGTGCTCTGTGAGTGTGTGTCCTGTGAGTGTGTGCTCTGTGAGGGTGTGTCCTGTGAGAGTGTGCCCTGTGAGAGTGTGCTCTGTGAGTGTGTCCTGTGAGTGTGTGCTCTGTGAGTGTGTCCTGTGAGTGTGTGCCCTGTGAGTGTGTGCCTTGTGTGTGTGCCCTATAAGTGTGTGCCCTGTGAGTGTGTGCCGTGTAAGTAGTGCCCTGTGAGTGTGTGTCCTGTGAGTGTGTGTCCTGTGAGTGTGTGTCCTGTGAGTGTGTGCTCTGTGAGTGTGTGCCTGTGAGTGTGTGTCCTGTAAACAAGCAGCACAGAAACAATGTGTTTTCTCCCTGCCACAGCGCTTATCCCATTGATCCTCAGAACTGATGAAAACCGGGACCCCAAGCTGAGATGTGTCACACTCTGAGTCGTTGTCCCTAAGTGTGCCCAGCTGGGTCCGTCTGCACCCCCCTCCAAACACACCTCCATTTTTCCCAGGAGCTATTGGTGATTGGTGCAGTGGTCCCGCCGCTGGCTGCCGCTGCACATGCTCCTAGGGCCGGGTCTTCGGCTGACCTCTGACCCTCTCCAGCACCACACAGCGGGGTGGGCACCTTGTGTAGACCGGTTTGTGGCAACATTGGTATCTGAGCCCAGCCTTGCTGTCCCCAGCGCTGCCACGACCTTGGATTTCCCCTTCTCTCCCCTTACTGCCTGGCCAGCACAGTAAGGAGCATCCGTTTCTTGGCCAGTCACGGAGGCAGCGGGCTCCTCGACACCCCTCCCATGCCCTTTCCTGCTGAGGCTTCCGCCCCTCCCACCGCCTAAACCTTCATTAGCCTGGATCAGTTCTGTCCAGAGCCCCTACTGCCCCCAGCCCACGGTTCCCTTTGTCTCCAACTCCCTGCCACCCCTTGCAGCTCCTCCGCTGTGCACGCGCCCCTGCATCCCTACCCGGCTGCTGCCCGGCTCTTGCCCTATGGCCCTTCTGGCCGCGTTGCTTCTGAGCTCAGCCCTGGGCGCCCTGCTCAGCTTCGCACTGCTGGCGGCTGCGGTGTCCAGCGACTACTGGTACATCCTGGAGGTGGCGAACGCTGGCGGCTCCGGGGGGCGAGCAGCAGCTGTCCTCACATTCTGGGCTCTGGCGCACCTGCGAAGGTGAGATGCACCCGGAGACCCCCTCGGTGCCCCTCCCCTCCCACCCGGTCCGTTTCTCCCTCCTCCGCAGCCTCGGTGGCATCTCCGGTCTGCTCCCCGGGGGGTCTCTGGGTTCCAAGCCCATCACGGTCTCCCCTCAGATTGCTGGGTGACAGCTGGGCTGTGGAAGGGTGCGAGGAAGCTCGAAGGTAGGGTGCTGCCATCGTGGCCGTGGGTGGGGGGGCGGCTGGCACTATGCTTTCCTAAGTTCTGACGAGTTTTCCTCTGGGACCTGGCGCCATTGGGAGTTGGGGCGCCATTGGGAGGTGACAGGTTAGGTGGACCATGGCTCTGTTCCTTGCTTCTGAGTAAGGAACGCGACAGTTTTTATGTCCTTAGCCTCTCTAGGTCTAGGTGCCTCCATGGAAGTCAGAAGAACACCCGAGGCTGCGGCCCAGATGCCAGGGCCTCAGTCAAGAGTTAGCTAGGATCCCACGGCTATGGCGCCCGTGTTTTCCAGCCCCCATTTGTACCTTGGCTTTCAGGACAGAACAGCTGTATGCCCCTGGTTGACCCGTTTGCCAGTGACAGCTTGGACTCTTCCCCCTCCATACAGCACCTTCTCTGTGAGTTCTGGGCCAGTGCTATCTCTGACTCTTCAGGCAGGTCTGAAACCAAACCACCCTACCCAGCTGCCTCACCCCAGCCACCAAACTGCTTCTGGGGCCGCAGGGACCCCAAGAGTGTTCCCATCGTAGCCCCCTGACCTCAGATCCTGGGGTCCCAGCCTGCCCTGCCCTCCTCAGACCTCCATTCCTTTTCACCGATGACGTGAGCCAGCTCAGAGCGTGACTAGGCGTCATGGGGCACACGGGTTCCCCTTTGAACTGGCCAGCTGTCTAGCTGGGTGGTCATAGACCACCTACTGCCCCTGAGAGGCTTGATGGTGGGGTGGGATGGGGGCGCGTTGGCAGAGCCTCTCTCAGCCTGGCCTCAGGAAGCCTGTACCAGAAAGGGATGGCCACTGGGAGGGTCTCCTGTTGCTATGGAGCTGGGCCTCTGCCCGACCCTACTGTGGGTGACCTGAGCAGGTGAAGGCGTGACTGTCTGTGACCCCCTGCCTGCCCCGAGCCCCCCTTCCTCCCCACAGCGCTGCACCGCGCAGTCATGGTGGTCCTGCCTCTGAGCCTCATCCTCATTGTGTGCGGCTGGGTCTGTGGCTTGCTAAGCTCGCTGTCCCAGAGTGTCCCTCTGCTGCTCCTCACCGGCTGCTACTTCCTGCTGGGGGGTGAGTGAGAGGCCCCTTGGAGGATCGTGGGCTGCAGATTGTGGGAGTGGGGCTCTGACTGTCATTTACCTCTACCCTGGCCCCTGGTCCCCTCTGAGCGCTGGAGAGCCCTGCTCCCCTGCAGAGATACGCTGGGGCTGGCCCAGAGCCAGGGCTTCTGGCTGGGGCCTGGTTGTATAGGAGTACCAGAGTGGAGTTTCTTGGCCTTGGAGACTTTAGGGTCTCTATGGTAACTGCAAGACTAGCTCTGTGGGCAGATGGTGCAAGAAGGGGGGTGTGGGTCTTGACCCCCGTCTGCTTCTCTCTCCTGCCGGGTGAGAATGTTTGAGGTAGAGCAGGACAGGCAAGAGCATACCATCCTTGGCTGTCACCCGCCCTAGTCCCGGGCTATAACCAGCCACAGCACCAGGCCCAGAGCTCCCCCGTGGCTCCGTGGGGCCTCTGCAGCAGGTTAGACACCCAAGGCTTCCAGAGCCAGGAGGAAACTGATGCTCTGTCCCCTTCTCGGTACAGTGTGTTGCAGCCACCAAGGCTAGCTGTCACCAAGGTGGGCATGTGGCCCTGCAGGGGTCTATCTACCTGCAGCAGCCTCTATCCCTGGGGTCAGGTTTGTGCAGTTCTGTTGCCTGGGGCCAGCCCTACTCTCATGGCTGGCTGTGACTGCAGTGGTGAGGTCTCCCAGACAGGCCTGCCTCCCTCCAGGAAGCACTAGGCTCTTCGGGAGACCTCTGTTAGGAGGCGATGGGCCTGAGAGGGGAACCTGCAGCCACAAACTAATGAGACAGATGCTCAGACCCAGGTCGCTAGAGCCTTGACCCCCGCGGGAGACTGAGTGCAAAATCCAATTAAGAAGCCACGGGAAGCCCCCGACAACAGAAATGCATTGGGGCTCTAACTGGGGAGCTTCATGGCGACATGCAGCCTCTGCATTTTTCTCGAAGCCAAGAGGCAGAGCCATGGGGCAGCTTTGGGGGAGGCTGATCACAGCTCCCCTGAGCACAGTGTACTTGGTCCCCAGAGGGAAAGGAGCTGAGGGACTGGGGTCCCCTGAGTCAGGGTATCAGGAGCTGAGGCAGACGGCGCTGGAGTTGTCAGCCGAGGCTTCAGGGACCGGATGGGAGATGGACTGCAAGGTGGCTAAGGCTGGGAGACAGGTCGCCATTCCGGGGAGCTGGGTGCCGCAGGTGAGGTGGACAAGGCCTGTGTGGCTCCTGGGGAAGCTGAGAGCCCGGCAGTTCCGCTGTGGTGTCGACCCCATCCCGGCCTCTCCCAGAGTGCAATGCGTTAGGCTCTGCTCTGCAGCCTTCCCCAGACTAAACCTGTGGCGTTTGCTGCAGGCGGTTAGACATCCACCCTCTCAAGCTGCCTTTAGTCCCAGCACGTGGGAGGCAGAGGCAGGTGGATCTCTGTGGGTTCGAGGCCAGCCTGGTCTACAAAGCTACACTGAGAAATCCTATCTTGAAAAATACAATGAAAGAGGAGGAGGGGGGGAGGAGGAGGAGGAGGAGGAGGAGGAGGAGGAGGAGAAGAAGAAGAAGAAGAAGAAGAAGAAGAAGAAGAAGAAGAAGAAGAAGAAGAAGAAGAAGAAGAAGGAGGAGGAGGACAATGAAATCCACTTACTCCCCCTCCACCCCTACCCTGCCCAAGGGCTAGGGTAGATGGAGACCAGATGGTTTGGGCCACAGAACTGTGCCTTTTAACGGCATAACTGAGTCCCTGGGGCTGTTTACAAGGGATTTGTCGGTGAGATCTCAGGACGGAGGGCTGTATTGGAACTCCCTAGCACCGCGTCCCCTAAAACTCAGAATTCACTACGCTTGTGCCTGTCCTAGGAGCGGAGACTTAAAGTTGGCTCTGCTGGTGGCACACTGAGCAGTCTTGCTGCCCCTCTCTCCCCAGGTGCCCTGACCCTGGCGGGGGTCAGCGTCTACATCAGCTACTCACACCTGGCATTTGTGGAGACCGCCCGCCTGTACGGTGCGCAGCACATGCAGGATGTGCACATCAGCTTCGGCTGGTCGCTGGCCCTCGCCTGGGGCTCCTGCGCCTTGGAGGTGCTCAGCGGTGTGCTCCTGCTCGCAGCTGCCCGCCTCCTCAGCCTGAGCCAGCGCCCGGGGGTGCCCCACTCCGTGGTCATCTGAGTCCCGAGGTGGCAGGGCGGTGGGGAGAAGGCGAGGCTCGGGCACCCTTAACGTTTGCCGGAACCCTAGCTGGGAAGGCGCCCTGGGGATGGCGCGTTGGGGAAGCTGGGCATGAGGAAGGCAGCTGGAGAGCCCGTGTCTCGAGTCATGAGCTCTTGGCGGCACAGTCTGGTGGGGGCGCCTCAGGGTTCAGGGTGCCCAGGGGGTGCAGCCCACTCTGGCTCTCTCTGGCCCTCAGTTGCTGAGACAGTCCGATTCTGTGCTAGGAGCTGGCTGAGGGCTTCCTTACCTCTCCATCCCCCAGTTAGGCGTTAGTTACCACTCACCCTATGCCGCAGAGTGGGAGCCAGAAACCCCGAGAACAGACGGCAGTCTGGGTGCCCCATGACGTTTGGCAGGACGACCCCTGGGTTCTGGTTTGTTACCTCTCCTAAGGGGGGGTTGACAGGGAGGAGGCTTGGGGCTGGCTGGGAGGATGCAGCTTAGGTCCCTTTGCAAGCCACCACGTGGGTCACTTTTGAGCGCTTCCAGGCGGGGTGGACCTTCGAGTCTAGGTCCTTGTCCTGGTGCAGGCTGCTGCCCTGCTGCCTCCCCATCTCCTCTTTCAGCAACAACCGGGGGCGTGTCCGAGACTGGTCACAGTTGGGGTGATTGGGGCGGTGCCTGGCCTGCCCCTGGGCTGCCTGGATAGAGGAGCTTGTGCTGCGGGCAGAGGCTAGGCATGGGGATTTGGCTGCGGGTGTGGAAGGGTCAGCTCACAGGCTGCCTGCGGCCCACTCCCTGTCTGGGACAACACAGGTGGGAACCGAATCGTCTCTGGTCAGGTGGCAGACCTGTGTTTATGTAACTGGACGGTGGACAGCTGTCAGCTAGGGGCCGCGCAGTACCCCAGACAGGCCTGATTCTGGTGCCGGCGCTTCCTGAGTTTGCAATATGCACTAGGGAAGGTGGTACTTCCCAAGGCTTGGTTCCGGCGCTGTCCCCAAGCCACTTTTGATTGTTTCTAAGGACACGGGAAGCAGGGATGACCCACCGAGGGCAAAGGACAGGAGCTGATGGAGACCTCCCTTCCCTTTGTGTGCTAGTCTTTGCCATTCCGTGTAAGAGCACTGCCGTGTGTCTGAATAAACCCGCTGCAATGTGTGTGTTTTTCTCCTTCTGCGATGTGTATTATTTTTGGAGGGGGTGCGCACGGGGACAGCGCCTCACTATGTAGACCTGAACTCGCTGCCTCCTGCCTCAGCCTCCCTGGTGCTGAGACTTCCGGTGTCCATCACCAGGGCCAGCCGAGAATTCTTCAGAATGGGTGATACATACGCATTTCTCCTGATGTTGGAAGGGCGAACACACACCAGCGTGTGCGTCTGGCTGTCAGTGATGTGCACGTGTGTGTGTGTGTGTGTGTGTGTGTGTGTCCTGTGTGCATGTGCACTCTGTCAAGTCCTGCAGCTCCAGAGACTGAGAGAAGCCTCGGGCCTCAGCAGGACCTGGGCTGGCTCACGGGAGCTACAGGAAAGTGACAGCCTCTCCCTGTCCAGCTTCGTGGACATCTGCTGAGGTGCCTGCCTGCTGGAAGCTAGTTTGTGAATTCTAACCCCACTGAGCGTGTGTGGCTTTAGGCTTCCGGGTGACGCTGGGGAAGACCTCCACGATTGTCTAAGGGCATGTGCTTGTGTACATGGGCATGCGGTCAGACATGGGACTTACTGAGGCCAGCTGAGGCCTTTGCTCTGATGGGCCAGTCTCCTTAGTAACCGACCCAAGGGTTCTGTCTTGTTTCACGGTTCACTGGGTAGCTGGGCTGTGAGGCCCAGGCGAGCAGGCAGGCGAGTGCTTCCTGGGGAGGAGTTAGCAGCTCAGAGCTGATGTGGACAGACAGACGACAGGCTCCAGGGGCGCAATGTGTCTTACCCGGAGAGAAGAGAGACAAGTGGGGAGCCAGCCTCTGTAGCCCCCCACAGGCAGGACGCTCGCCCTTCCACGGGTGCCTCAGTTCCTGCAGCCAAATGTGGGCCGAGCTAGGAAGCCCTGGAGCTCACTACTCATCTGCAAAGGCTCTCCCCTTTCCTCTGCCATGCCACAGCTGCCTCTGGCCATTTACCCTCTGATGCCACCAGAGCTCGACCCGCAAGGATACAGTGTCCACTGGATGCAGGCTTTACCCTGGCCAGCATCCGTACATTATAGCAGCCACCTCCAGATGGCTGGCAGATTGTCCCTCCCCTTCAGGTCCTTTTCTGACACACCAAGTCTGGACTGACCTGGGGGTACACAGGGAGTCACAGACAATGCCTCGCAGGTCCTGCCTCTCAGTCTCTCAGTCACTGGCACTAACGGGAGCCGTCTGCGCTGGGGCTCGGGGGAGAAGAGGCTTGCCCAGGCAGGCGGGCACCAGGCTGGGGTACAGACATGCCACCGTGGAGGTAGAAGGCCCACATAGAGCACTCATTGATTAGGAAAGGTCAAACAGCTTAAGCTAACCCTCCAGTTCCTAAGGCCAGGAGGAATCCCTGCCGGCTTGATGTACTAGCTTGGGGGTGGGGAGTGGCCCTTTCTCCGAGTGGTCAGTGCATATCGCCTGTCTTCCGAAGGCAGTTTGGGAGAACTAAGGAGAAGGCTGTGGCTTCACACTCCATCACCACCTCAGGCCCGGGAGAAAAGCTCTGGGGCCTGGAGAAACCCCGAATTCTAGGCCTGGACATATCTGGAGTCTTCTAAGAGGTGAGGGGAGAGACAGACAGTCCCCTGCTGCAGTCTCCTGCTCTTCTCCAGTTGAACTCACTGCAGCCCAAGCTGTCACCACACTGATGGCCCTGCCAGTGCCTTTGGTCATCCTGCACACCATGGCATAGCCACCTCTGCCTAGAGCTGGAGCTACAGTTGTGAGCAGCCATGTGGGTGCTGGGACTCGCACCCAGGTTCTCTGGAAGAGCAGCCAGTGCTCTTGACTGCTAAACCGTCTCTCCAGCTCCAATACTGAAGTCGCTTTTAATTTTATGTGTATGAGTGCTTTGTCTGCGTGTATGTCTACGTGTTACATGCATGCCTGATGCCAGTGGAGGCCAGCAGAGGGCGCCAGATCCCCTGGAACTGAAGTTAGAGATGGTTGTGAGCCACCGTATGTGGGCGCTGGGCATTAGGCCTGTCGCTTCTGTCATGTATTCAGCCGGGACATAAAGGTACCCAATGCATCTCCTTCAATGCTTTATTTTACGGTCCATCTCTGATAACTATGGCAGTCGCATGAGGATCTGTTTGTTTGGAGACAGGGTCTCAGGTGGCCCAGGACCGGGTCAAACTCTGCTCTGCAAGTGGGAATAACGTTGAACTTGTAAACACCTCCAGCACGCTAGGGTTACAGATGTGAGCCAACACGCCTGCTTATACAGTGCTGGGGGCTGAACCCAGCTAGGGCTTACCCACACCAGGCAGCCATATTACACGCCCCAGCCCCGGGATCTGTTTCCCGTATCCGTTTCCTTCTCCCTCTCTTTTCTTTTTTTTTTTTTTTTTTTTTTTTTTTACGAGACAGGGTTCCTCTGTATTGTTTTGGAGGCTATCGGTCCAGCTCAGCCTCGAACTCACAGAGATCCGCCTGCCTCTGCCTCCCGAGTGCTGGGATTAAAAGCGTGCACCACCACCGCCCGGCCTGTTTCCTTCTCTTGACATTCAGCCACCTTTTATCCTGGCCCGTGCCGGGTTACCCCTGACTGAATGAGGCCGTCACCGGAGCAGAGGCTGAGTGGCGTCCTTATCCCCCACAAGGACCGGCCTTCACTGGGCTAATGGCTTGGGGCACCCTTATTCCCCGCTTCAATCCTAGCCAGGGCGCCGGACCCCCGGGTCCCGGCGCCTCAGGGCTGCAACTGCCTCAGCACAAACTCCCACTTCCTCAGGGCCAGTTCTGTGTCCTGAGCGGATACGTCTCGGTGCCACACAACCCGCACGGAGTGCGCCGTCCAGGGAAACAGCAACACGCTCACGGCACAGCCAGTCTGAGCCACCTCGTCGGCGCTCACAGCCTGCAGGCGCCGGCACAGCTCTGCGGGAGGCAGCCCAGACACCCGCACCAGCACTATGTTGGTCTCCACGGTGGCAGGGTCCACAGAGCAAACGGGTGATGCCAGGTCCTGGAGTCCTGGGGCCAGACACAGTGTGAGTACAGTCCCACCCCAGGGCCCAGCCGTGGGCCACCACCCCCAGGGAAGGCAGAAGAGCAGCCCGCCGTTCATCTTGTGGTTGGGAACACACCCTGAGTCCTGATTTGGGAACATGAGATGGCTCCTGCTTTCCTGCTTCTCTGGGTGTCAGGTGTGGGGACATCGTAGGATTGTTAGGGAAATTCAGAAAACGTATAAAGACCCATGCTGGGGGCCCCGTGCTGCTTGGTTCCTGACTCAGCTGCTGGCATCCTGTGTGAGTGCCCCACGGAGTAGGACCCGGTGCGGCAAGAGGACCCAGGTCCCTCCCTAGAAGCTTTCTAGAGTGGGCGCAGATCTGCTGGGGACCTGGTCCTGCAGCTGGGGACATCTGTGCCCAGACAGTAGGGAGGAGTGGAGCGAGGGTGGGGGGCGGTCCAGACACCTTTAGCAAACCTCTGGGCGTTCTCGTGGTCCTTTGGCAACACCTCCTCTGCCTCGGCCAGTCCCACCAGGGCAGCCGCCGCCAGCACTCCGGCCTGGCGCATGCCTCCACCCAGGGCTTTGCGGAGGCGCCAGGCTTCCTCGATGAAGTCCCTGGATCCCCCAACCAGAGCTCCCACCGGCGCGCCGAGGCCCTGAGAGGAGAGAGGAGAGACTCCTGGGGCCTGTTTCCACAGCCTGTCCTAGAGGTGGGGTGTGCGTGTGCGCGCTGCGGTCTCCACGGCCCAGGGCTAGCCCGCTCTGGCGGGCTCTGGGAGGCTCAGAACTCAGGGGTCCAGCTGTACCCTCAGTGCGAAGGTCAGCCTACCTTAGAGAGACAGAAGGACACAGAGTCGCAGTGCTCCACGAGACGGGCAGGGGGCACGCGCAGGGCCACAGCTGCATTCATCAGCCGGGCGCCATCCAGGTGGACCCGGGCTCCATGGGTGTGGGCCAGGAGGCGCACCTGGGGGCAAAGGTCAGGCAAAGGTCAGGCGGCAGTCAAGGAGGGGCCAGGGTAGGAAGCATCTGGGCTTGACATCATTTTTAAGAAGACTTTTAAAACTTACTATTTTATTACTAATGGTGTGTGACTGCATGTAGATGTGTACGTGAGTGCAAGCTCCCGTGGAAGCCAGAGGCACTGGAGGCCCCAGGAGCCGCAGTTACGGAGTGTTTGAGGTGCCTGGTGTGCGTGCTGGGGTCAGATTCAGGTCTCCTGGAAGAGCCACGGCTTTTAACCACAGAACCGGCTCACCAGCCGCCAAAAGATTTATCTTTATTGCTGGACAGTGATGGTGCATGCCTTTAATCCCAGCACTCGGGAGGCAGAGGCAGGCGGATCTCAGTGAGTTCGAGGCCAGCCTGGTCTACAGAGTAAGTTCCAGGACAGCCTCCAAAGCTACACAGAGAAACCCTGTCTCAAAGACAAAACAAAACCCCAAAAGATTTATTCCTATTTTATGCGTATGGGTATGGTGTATGGCAGGGATGGTGGTGTGTCCATGGAGCCGGAAGAGGGCACTGGATCCCCTGGAGCCGGAGTTACAGGTGTTTTGATCCAGTCAAACTCAGCCTCTGGAGAAGCAGCAACTGCTCTTAACCACTGTCTCTCAGTCTCCCCAGAGCTCGGCACCTTGAGGAGCCACGAGTGGTCTAGACTTGAAGCCTGGCGTCTGTGTATTTGGGACCCGAGAAGTCATCCTTTGCTCACATGTGATGTTTCTGTCACCAGACAGACTGGGAGCCTGAGGCCATTTTTAGTCTAGGACCAACACATTCATTCCCCTGTGACACTCGGCTCACGGATAGGTGCCCATAGCGTGTGTCAGAAGGGATTTACCCCTAGGGATAGGGACTGTTCAGGGGGCACAGGAAGTCAGGAGTGGGCTGGCATCGGGCCCACCTGGCGGAGGTAGTCGATGGGGAGGACCCGGCCCCCCGCGCTGCTGTGTGTATTCTCCAGGCACACGAGCTCGCACACTGGATGGTAGGAGCTCCCGAAGCCCCGAGTGAGTGCTCGCTCCAGCTCATCCAGGTCCAAGGTGCCATGGGGCATGTCTGGGAGGGGCTGGGAGTGCACCCCGGCGATCTGCGGGCCAGAGAGGACACCGGATCAGGTGGGGCTAGTGGGAGCCACCTCTGGGACCCAGAGTGTTCTGAGCATCTGCAGCAGCGTCCTAGCTGGGGAGGCTGCTGGCCCCTTGCTCCTAGTTTCTGTCCAGGACGCTGTCCTTTGGCAACTTTCTGGCGTGCTAGTGCTCCATCTGCCCACTAGAGGGCAGTAAGGCACCGAGGCAGATGAGCGAATCTGAGCGCCGGCCCGCCCTCCCTCCCATCTCCGGGGCTGCCTTCGCTGGGCCTTTCCCTTTCTCCCCTCCGTTGGTTCCAGCCTGGTGCCTTGGCATCCCAGCTGGCTGGAGGATGTCCAAAGCCCCAGGGGAGTGGTGCCTGGTCCTTACCTGAGCCACCCCGCCCTGCTCATAGACGTGGAGGTGGCATTCCTGCCCAAGGAGGACCTGGGAACCCCGGCGCCGGCAGTGACCCATCACTGAGATAGACAGGAGGAGGGCGGGACTTGGAACTGGGTCCAAGAGGGTCCCACTGCCCCGGCTCAGCGTGGCCAGGCGGAGCCTGGAGCCCCAGTGAGCCCCAGTGAGCTCAGACCGCCTCTGTCAGTTAGGGAGCAGCGGCCCCTCAAGACGCCCTCACCGCTGTGTGCTGGAAAGGCAGGAGTGACACACAGCTCTGGGATGGATTTGTGTGGATGCCAGCAACCTGCATCAGAGCGCCCCCCGTGGCCCACTAAAGAACGCTCCCAGCAGGGAAGAGCGCCGGGGTGCTGTCGCTGGGAACAGGAGGCCCAGGGCACCAGCAGCAGCAGCAGCAGCCAGGCCCTGTCGGAGGAGGACTAAGGACAAAAGCATACCGGGGGACAGCCCAGGCCAGGGCTGCAAGGTACACGCGCGCTCCAGAGTGGCAGAGACTTGCAGACCTAGCTCACCCCCTGCCTTCCGCCAGGGCGGCGCTGCACCGGCGGCACCCAAGAGTAAACCCAGGAGCCGGGCGGTGTTGGCGCACGCCTTTAATCCCAGCACTCGGGAGGCAGAGGCAGGCGGATCTCTGTGAGTTCCAGGCCAGCCTGGTCTACAGAGCGAGTTCCAGGACAGACTCCAAAACAATACAGAGAAACCCTGTCTCAAAGACAAAACAAAACCCCAAAAGATTTATTCCTATTTTATGCGTATGGGTATGGTGTATGGCAGGGATGGTGGTGTGTCCATGGAGCCGGAAGAGGGCACTGGATCAAAACAAAACAAAACAAGAGTAAACCCAGGAACGTGTCCATCAGAGCTACAGACCCCGGCTCAGAGGGTGGCGGGCGCTCACCAGAGATGAGGTTGGCCATGGTGTTGGTGGGCACAAGCAGGGTCCGCTGCACCCCGAGCAGCTCTGCAGCCTTCTCCTGCAGTTCTGAGGGCGGGACAAGAACGCCTATCAACAACTGCTCAGAGCCGCCGTACCCTGGCACAGCTCAGTGCCCACCTGCTGCCGGGTGTGGTGGAGTGTGCCCGCAGCAGGGGGATAACCGAGTCTGAGGGCAGCCTGGGGTACACAGCAAGGCCTCGTCTTAAGCCCCTCCCCCCGAGAGAGTGCATTTGCTCAGAGGAGAGCCCGTGGGCGGGGCTTGGAGCCCATCTACCCTCCGGTTGTAGTTTGTGGTCTCGGTAATCACGTGCCACGTCCAGGGCGCTCCCCCCCCGTGAGTCCTCTGCATGTCACCTCGTCCTGGGTCACAGTCCCCTGCCCCAGGCCACCGAAACTCCCCTGCGGTGAGAACCCCCTTTCCCACCCCGACCTCACACCTGTGTGTCTTCCTTTCCCGGCAGCCCTGGCAGGTGAGGCCCTGTGGTTTCCCTGCAGACTTCCTCTCCACATCGCCAGGGAGGAGTCGGGGGGGGGGGGGCAGGGGGGAGGCGGGGCGGGGGGCCTGGCATCAACGGTGCAGCTGGTGGGTGACCGAAAGGGCTGTCCAAAGCCCGTGGTGGCTTCCCTCCGTGATCTGGATCCTGTCCCCGGAAGGCACAGGTGCCTCCCTGCACCCCGAATGCTGCAACTCCGCCTTTAGCAAGCTCTACTCTTTCCCCCCTCCCAGCCCCAGACTCCTGAAGGCAAGCGCCTCCCCAGCCTTGATGTGGGGACCTGTTTACACCCCAGGTGTGGGCTGACGGGAGTAGCTCAGCCTCTCTGAAGTTCCTGGTAACAGCCTCAACAACCCCTGGGCCCACAAACGGGTCTGGGGGGGGGGGGGCGGGGGATCAAAGTGGTGATCTGTGGTTTATCTCTGACCCCCAGAAGCTGCAACACCCCAGCGACACTAGAGGCCCACTTTAAGAGTGACTGTCGACCCCGGCTGGGCTTTGGTTTGCTGTCTCCTTAAAGCACTGCTTAGGTTACGAATTTTTGCCCCTGGGAAGGCGTGACAAGCCCAGAAACCTTTTCCTCGGTTGGTCCTGTCTTTGCGAAGTCAGTCTGTGAATGAAGGAGAGTAGTTACAAGACATCTCCAACCCTGGTTCTTCCCTGTTCCTGATACGGGTCCTCGGGCTCCTCAGAGCCATTCTTTGCAAGTCTGGACAACGCCCATCTGGGCAGCTGGCTGGACAGTGGACAGAATTCAACCCGGAGGTCCTGTTAAAATGCAGATTCTGGCTCCCCAGGTCCAACGTGGAGCTCGAGAGTCTGCATTACCAAGGATCTCCTGGAGAACGAGCAGGGGCGCAGGGTGCACCCCCTGGCTTGCAGCTGCGTCCTGAGACGCCATGCGAGGCGCTACTCTGCGTCCACGCTGTCCTCCCGTCAGCACCACGGACAGCGCCCCGCCCCACCCCCCACCCCCGGGTCACCGCCACGACCCCCTGCCCCGGGCCTGCTCGCCCGGTCGCCCGGCTCACCATGGACCGTGGGGTCTTCTCCGTAATCGTCGTCTCCCACGACCGCCTGGGCCATGGCGCGCCTCATGGCCGGCCCTGGCCGGGTCACCGTGTCGCTGCGCAGATCTACTACCTGGGCTGGGACCCCCGCCCAGTTCCTAGACCACCGCGCCCAGGGCGCCCTGGACCCCGGGACCGCGGCCCGGGCCAGTCTGCGGAGCATGGCTGTGCCACCCTCCTTCCTAGCGCGCAGGAGCGGTGGACGCTCTCTCTTCCGGGCCTGCCGGGGCGCGGGGGATCCGTGAGGCTGGACTGACCATTCTGACCCCGTGTGGACCGGAGCTGGGTAGGCCCGGGGCACTCTGGGAGTTGTAGTCCTCCGTGGAACGTTATCCCTTGCGGTGAGTCCCGCCGCATGCTGGGAGTCGTAGTTCGCGTTCGCCGTGCGGAGTAGGAGAATTCGGGATGACAGTTCCTTGCTTTGCTAAAGGGGTGAGCGTTCACGCAGCTGACGCTCAGGTGACTTTTAGTGTGCACACCTGGCACTGTTGGCGACACTGCGGATTCAACTTAGTTGGGCGTGCCAGCCGCTGAACAAACCTGGGTGCTGGGAATTCCGCCCAGCCATCGTCTCTCCAGCCCTTCGCTGTCCCTCCGCACAGGAGGCAGCGGACTGCAGACGCTGCTGTGAGTTCCTGAAGCCCGGGGATCATATGTGGCGCCATGTCGCCCCTAAGGGGTAGCTTCTTTTTTTAATTTTGGTCTTCTGAAACAGGGTCTCGTGTATCCCAGGCTAGTTCTGAACTCACTGTGTAGCCTTGAACTCCTGACTGTCCCGTTTGGGACTACAGGTGTGTGCCACCATAAACAGATTATGCTGTGTGGGGAACTCTGTGCAAGTACTCTACCAAATGGGATGCATATCCAGCGCGCCTCTCTCTCTCTCTCTCTCTCTCTCTCTCTCTCTCTCTCTCTCTCTCTCTCTCTCTCTCTCTCTCTCTCTCTCTCTCTCTATCCAGCACGCCTCTCTCTCTCTCTCCTTCTCTCTCTAATAAAATGAATTTAAAACTTTTAAAATTATGTGTATATGGGGGGTGCAGGTATGTACACGCAAGTGTAGTTGCCCATTGGGGCCAGAAGAGGGCTTTGGACACCCTGGAGCTGGACGTTACAGGTGTGGGTGCCCGGAACCAAACTCAGGTTCCCTGCAAGAGTGGAAGAGTGGTTTGTGTTTTTAGAGTAGAGCCATCTCTCCAGTACCTGCGTTGGGGTTATTTGTTTCTGAGGTAACCTCACGATGTAGACTATCATACTACCTAGATCTCACTAACCGAGGAAACCCCGCCCCCACTCCACCCCCACCCCCCGCCCCTGCAGTTTCCCAAGTGCTGGGATCTCAGGAATGAACCACCATGTCCAGCCTTCAGTATGGTTTTACCGAGGTGCCAAGTTGGGGTGGGGGGGGACTCAAGGATGTCTTCACCTGGGGCTGGAGGTACAATCTCCCAGGGGCATACACAATGGGAAACAGAGTCACGGAGGTATCTAGAAATCTCCTTCCTTCCTGTACCATTGCCCTTGGGAGACAAGATGTCTCCGTGGAGGTCATGCCCACGAGCGCTGTGTGACAGAGCACCTGCCTAGCAACATGAGGTCCTTGGGTTGGTTCCCCGGCACTGTGAAAGGATAGGTGTGGCGGCTCGTACCTGTCTGTAATCCTACTCCTTTGGGAGACTGAGGCAGGAGGATGGCTGAGAGTTTCAGGCCAGTCTGCACTAGAGTGAGAGACTCCGTCTCAGAAAAGCAAAAACAGTGGCGAGGAAAATAAGATCCCCCCAGTCCACTCCCAGCTGCGTGTCGGTAGACATGTTGTGCCCAGAGTCCCCAACGAGGATGAGGATGAGGACAGGAGGTCTCCTACCTTTCTGGTACTGCCCTGTGCCTGGCTCGTGGGAGACTTTTTCTGTTTATCCTGAGGTTGGCGCTGCAAGCACCCAGAACTTGGTGCTTCTGTTGTGGGGTACACTCTGACTTACCAGGACCAAAGGGAGACAGACCTTCCTTCATACAGGGAGGTCGGGAGCTCCACCCTGCTAGTTGTCTGTCTGTGGTGGGCTTGGAGCAAGCTGGTCTGAGAGGGGAGAGGCCCCAGTCGAACAAGGCACCTCGGGGCACTTCATCTTGTCTGGGATGCTGACCTTGCTTCTTTCATTCTTCCTGCTGTGTCTGAAGCAATGGCCCGCCAGGCAGGCTTCCTGGAAGAAACAGTAGTCTTTGGTGGCAGGACAGTCTACTAAGCAAGTGACGGAGGAAGGGAGAGTGACTTGGGTAAGGGACAGCATGGGCCACAGTAAGGTGGCAGACCCTGGGGCTGGAGAAGTGAAGAGTTGAGATGCAGCCAGAGGCCACCTGCAGGGACAGAGCCAACTCTAAGGGATTCTTCCCCTCTCCCAGGGTGTGGAGGTCAAGTCCCTGTAGGCCTGGGGCCCCGGGGACTTCTACCTAATACAAAGGCTCCCTGCTTCCCCCATAGCAGGGTGCTCTGGCCCTGACCCCCATACACAAGCTCTGCCTAATTCCCGAATTCCAGTCCTTAGAAAACAAGCCCTTATCTCATTGTCTGGCTCCGGCCCTTCTGCTGGGAAATGGGGGGCGGGAGCGAAGACTCCATGGGAAGGGGGGGGTGGATGGGCTGGGAGCAGCCACAGGAGCTCTCAGGGGAGAGAGGGGACAAAAGAGCAGGCACCTCCCTTTGGTGGCAGAACCAGAGATTGGCCACCTGCTTGTAACCCTCTCAGAAACTACAAGGCCTTCCCAGGGCCAGGGGGGGGCTGCCTGTCAATCATTAAGCAGCTGTGGGGAGGAGGTGTAAAGGCTTGAGGGCCCCACCCAGGTGGCATAGCTGGACCTTTTGTCCTTCCCAAGTGGCTCTGTCTCCCTACGGAGGCGGAGGCGTGTGCTCTTCCCAGGGCTGCTGTAGGACAAAGTCTGTATGGCCAGGTCCTCCTGCCTGGTGCTTGGTGTGCAACCAGGTGTGTTTGGAGGAGGCTGTACCAGAGCTCTGCTCTGCTCTCTCTCTCTCTCTCTCTCTCTCTCTCTCTCTCTCTCTCTCTCTCTCTCTCTCTCTCTCTGTCTGTCTCTCTGTCTCTCTGTCTCTCTCTCTCTCTCTCTCTCTCTCTCTCTCTCTCTCGTGTGAGCATCCCTCTGTGTACATGTTTGCATGCTTCCCTGGCTATGCCTGAGCTTTGAATCATCCTCAACCTCCTGACTTGAGATAAAGCCTGGCAGGTTTTGTCTCCTGCCGTTTGGCACCCTGCTGATGGACAAGGCTGGACCAGGACACATCACACAACAGTTCTGAGCTATAGCCACCTGTCCCTAGCTTTCTTCAAACTGACCAGCCCTAAGCCAGGGGTGGAAATTTCAGAGCTTTTCCAGCCCACAGGTCTCGGAAGACACTGGGAGTTTGGCCGCTCTGCTGGGCAGAGAGTCTCTTTCTCTGTGTGCCGGCTGGCCACGCACATTCCCTCACCCCCAGCAAGCACCTTCCCTTCCCTGCTGACCCTGTCTGCCCTGCTGCAGGGCTCTCTCTCTGCTGCTGCCGGCTGAGTTCAGACCTTTCCTCCCTCTGGATTCTTTTAGAATCACAGGGTCACCTCACCTTGCCAGTTCTCGTTCTTTCTCTCTCTCTCTCTCTCTCTCTCCCTCCCTCTCTCTCTCTCTCTCTCTCTCTCTCTCTCTCTCTCTCTCTCTCTCTCTCTCTTCTCACAGCCACTTTTATTTGGTGCTTACGTGCAGGTACATATGGGCATCTGTGTGCACATGCAGGTGCAGGTCAGAGGTCAGTCTCTGGCGTCGTCCCTCCGGTGCCGCCCCCCTTATTTTTGAGGCAGTCTCTCTCGCTGGGACCTGGGACTCACTGATTAGGTAGGTTGGCTGGCTAAGAATATGCCTGTCTCTGCAGCCCCAGACCGGGGAGTTTCAAATGCCGGCCACCCACCATGGCAGCTTCTCACGTGGGTACGGGGATGGCACTCCGGCCCCCATGCTTACAAGACCGGCATTTCCCCAAGGCAGCTGTTTCTCCAGCCGCTCCTCGCCCAACCAGCCTCTCGACGTAGCTTTTTTTCCTGGGGCTTTTCACCAGCATTTCAGCCTGCTCTGGTGCATGCATCTCTGTATGCCATCCCATACCCGTGTTCCTCCCGTCTGGGCCCGTCCCTGTCCCTGGTCCCCGGTCCCCGTCCCAGCTATCAGTTCACGTCTTTGGTCGCTGCCTCCTCAGTGTTTGGGCTTCAGCTGAAGGGTTCTCCCACCAGGAAGCCCCTGGCCCAGGCCACCAAGGGAGGGAGCAGGCCCTCTTCCTGGGGTACATACAGCACCTGGCTTCCCACTGTCCACGGCCACAGCTGCACGCTTCTGCCGCTTGCTCCGTGCAGCTGATGCACTGAACACAAAAGGCCAGCCCTGTGTCATGCATGCCCTGTGTGCTGAGCCCAGTGCCCGGTTCTGGGGCTTGGTGAATGGCAGCCGGGTGGCGGATGAGACAGAGAGACACACAGGGCAACCTGCATGCGTGTGTGTCCCTGAGGGCAAGTCATCCTGGTGGCAGCTGAGTGGCTGACAGGGGAGGGACACTTGGTTTGGTGCCCCTTGATCTTGGCCACTGCTGTACACACGGGGACCAGGTGCTGTCCTGTCTTTGCGGGCAGTCTGGAGAACATCAAGGCTACCCCCATCCTCACCGTCTAGGGCCACTTGAGGAAGGATTCTAAGAGGCTTAGATTGGGATTTCTGGGGGAGAGTTGCCTCTGGGGGTACTTATGACTTCCTGACACCTGGCTGGCGTGGTGCAGTGCGTGCGAGTGCATACACGCACACACACACACACACACATACTCACACTCACATGCTGAGTTAGTTCAGTGCGCTGTGTGTGTGTGTATGTGTGTGTGTGT